TAAACGCACCCCATAATCCACAAGTAATGGAATCTCCTTTAGTCTTCGAAGAACTCCCTAGCACGGCGAAAGCCACCGAAACTTCGGTCGAACACTCTGAGAAAACGCGTTCTGGACGTCACGTTAGATTCCTGGAATACCTTCACACCTATTTCACATAACTGAGTGACACATCAACTTTTTTATGTTGCATCATTTAACACAAGTAAACGATATTTTTCCTATAACCGTGCATTAAACATGCACTTAGCAAAAAATTAAATTAGATGTATATTTTTTCCCCCGATATTTTGAACTTTACATTATTTTACTGTATCGTAGATGCAACTAAATTTTATTTTGTAAAAAACGCTCATTTGGTACATTTTCCTTGACAAGGTTCTCAGCATTCTTGTTTTCTTTTCCAGGTGCAACGGGCACTGGACAGGAAACAAACGAAGCACCGGATCCAACGAATAACATCGAGGAAGCTATGTACAGACACCCTATTAGCATAGGCAGACAGACCAGTAGGCTCTCTATCAAGCGCTCGGAAGATTTTTTCACCCATAAGGGAACCATCCAGATTTTTTTACTTCCAGCTGGTCATGTCTTAGGGTCCTCACAAACCCACTAGGGGGGGAGTGAGCTGTAGCGGTAAATAATTCCCCAAAATTATTAACCACAGCAATCATCACTCAACATTGGATGCTGACCATCACTGTTTAAGTCGACTTGTTTAGCTGAAGGCTTCCGGTCAAGCATCCCCGCCATTTGGTACTCCGTCGTGTCGCGTGCGTGCACGATCACTAGCTAGCTAAGCATTCACTTCTACCCGCGATTTGGTCCCGAAATATACTACGTACTTTGGACGACAAAATCTGGTCTTTTGCTTTATCTTTGGTACTCGAAGTGCGAACACTATAAAAGTTGTTGGTATAAGATCTTGCGTTAGTATAATCCGTACAACTCGCGAATATCGATACCTGCAGCCTCTGAAATATATATAAACAGTATCTGTGAATGCTTCAGTGTAGGTAAACCGATACTATATGTAGATGACTTAAAAGTGACGTATAAATGCAAGAACACACATCTTGGAATAACAGTAAACGATATATAGCACGAATTAGAAAAAATGGATAGATGGTGTGACACCTGACAACTCCAGTTTATTGTCAAAAAATGTGGCTGGTTCTGCATAGGTTGCAACAATTTAGAACTTGACTTGACAATTAAAAGGCCATGAACTTTTACGACTGGAATCTGTACTGGACCTAGGACTGAACATAAATAAATGAATAAATTTATTCTCATATTACAGTACATGATGGACGCCAGTTTACAGGCATCATCAAATTGTTACATGAATGGAACCATATAATTCAATCACAATTTACAGGCAGTAGCAAGATATGCTTTACATGTTCGCTGGAGATTATACACACACTTGATAAATGTTAATCCCAGTAGTATAAAACAGCCTTTTCACTTATATACAATCATTTCTGTGCACAGTTGGAAAAATCTGCTAGGTTGTCAGTGAGTGCAACACATCAGGAAATACAGAAGTATTGTCATCGCATTAACAAAAAAACCAGGTCTTTGGTGGATGGATTATAAGTGCCTGGGAAGAAAATAAAGCTTGAAGTCACTTTTCATACATAACTTTGTTGTGTGCAGAGTCCGTGAATTATAGTTCATTGATGTGTTATTTTGAAATCAGTGATATGTTTATCTCATTTGATCTGCAATGTCATTGTTGATGCCTGTAAACTGGCGTCCATCATGTACTGTACTATGAGAATAAATTTATTTATTTCATTTTATTTATTTTATTATTTTGGAAATTAGCCGCTTTCCTCACCTTATCCACATATCCATACTTAGCAAGGATTGTATTGTGTCAACTGGAACTACATATAGTATTCACTCGTGAAATCTACAACATGGAATCTTCTGATACCCTCTCTAACCACGTGGAACTCAGGATTTTACTTCCAGGCAGTACTATTAAAGGAAAGCTTGACGTTCTACTTTGCAATATATAGCTATTTATCGTTGTTTTTTATACTTCGATAATGCAAAAACTTTTTTCATATCCTCAAGACTTTTTCCTGGAAATTGTGAAAATTCTTGTTTCTGTAATGGTCAAGTCCATCAAAAGTGTAAGTACCGTTAAGAGACTGAGATCTAATACTCGTCGACCATCTGAAGGCCCCAGCTCCGTTGACAGTTCTACATATTTGACAGCAGACACACCCAGAGTTATGGTATGTGATATCATGGAGGAATTGGCTGAGAATGTGGCTTGTAGCGAAAATGATTTACTGACACTTCAGAAGTCAATAGCAGACCTACAGAGCAAGTTTGACAGCATTATGCCCCTCACGCAATTGTATAACCCATCACAAAACATCTCTCTTGAATCACTTATCAAATCCGAGTGCATAATTGACTATTTGGCTGAAGAAGCTGTAAGGAGGATTATGTCTGCACATAACGTCTTAGTCTATAACATTCCAGACAGAGAAAGTATTACCAAACTCAAAACTTAATGTCTAAAGGCTTGTAATATGTCGTCGACAGAATGTCAGGTTTCGCGTCTTCGTAAGAAATCTGCAAACCACTGATGTCCGGTGCTTTTCAAGTTCAGGTATATTGGATTCTTATCCAAGAATTTTCAGAAATCTGGTAAGATAATAAGCTCTTCAACACCCTACAATAAATTTAGTGTTGCACCTGATTTAACACCAACTTACAACTAGTTTTTACCAGCCAAAATATGATTAGACAATGCGTCAAGGATAGATTACCGCTTTTGTCCACATCCATGTATATTTACTCTTTTACCTGCTCTTGTGGAGCTGTTTATATTGGACGTTGTAAGCGTAATCTCCGAAAACGTGTAGCTGAACACTATCCAGTCTGGTTAATGAAAGGCGAACGTAGAACTGCGAAGTCGTCTATCTGTGATCACCTGTTAGAGTCAGGTCATTTAGCCCCATGTGATTCATCTTTCAAAGTTATCTACATGGCAAAGTCGAATCAATCCAAAAGTTTACGTCTTCTTCACTTATGCAAAGCCGAAGCTTTAGCTATACATGAACAGAAACCTAAATTATGTGTTCAAAAACGTTTTGTCAAACCCCTTTCTTTACCCTGGTCATATTAATGTTCTTTCTAGTTTTTACTTTATTTTATTTTACCACTTGAATTCTTTCCACTTCACTTCACATCTTCATTCTTATCGTAATCGTACTCTTAATTTTTTAAAATTTTTAGACAACACTTGACATTTTTAAAACATTTTTGATTTCAATTCACTTATAAAACAATCTTTAATAGTTTTGTAATTTATCCACTTCAACTCTACCCCTTATAGCATTTTAATTATCGTTATTCTTATCACATATATGTGTATTGACTGAGCAATTATTTAGTGCCACTTAATAACCTTTTCTGTAATATAAAAACGACTATACAGCTTGAAAATGAAGTCGTCGAAAAGAAATTTCTTCGCTGAACAAAAAACTGAATTTTATCAATGTTTTGTGTAAACTGGATGCCATATTTTGACAAATGCTTGGAATTTCACCATGAATTACTAGTACCGTTTTTGGAATGAAGGACATATTTATCGTTATTATTCTGAGTAGTTGTCCCACCCTGCCTTATGGTTACTTATATTTCTGGAGAATCAATTAGCCAGGCTGCTTGTGCGGTTTCGAGATGGCCTCTAATTTGCTTCAAATAGAAATAACGCCCACAAAGATGTATGCTTATCAGTCGCGCTAGACCTGGGCTGTAACCACACTACCTGCCGGCATTTTAACCTATCTACACTTAACACCGCCGCAAATAGCGAACAGAGAATATAACGAAGCTCCTGAGGTCTTGTCCCTTGAAAATTAAATCGATCATCTTGTATTTCAATCAGCACGGAAAAACGAATCCAAAGTTCACTATGAAATGGCTGAGATTCAACTGGCTTGATGCTTTCCTTTGATAGCTTACTCAACTACCACTGAAAAATCTGCACGGTTGAAGAAAATTAGCAGAATTTTGTCACCACAATACGTTCAGAATCGACTAACATTTCGAATTTTGCAACAATCAAATAACCAAGGGATACAGTACAAGCATACTAATGCTTCACCATCGCCACATTTCAAGGGCGTAAACTCAAGATACTGTCCTATCTTAAATGCTTACACTGAAAGTATATTAAACACTCGCACCCTGATCAAAAGGCGTAACCCTTAACATTCAGAAATGCCCTCTATTAACCACATTGCTTGATTTCTTCAAGTATACACGATAACTCTCTATGATGGTCACACCCATACCTAGGAAAATAGAAACGATCTTTGGTGATCTGTTGCCGAAAATCCATTTCTAACTTTCTCTTTAGCGCTAGAGTAGGGAGCATAAACGTGGATATTACCGCTAAGAAAACCATTGAGACGTTTCAGGGAGTTATGTCATTTGCCACATTAATAACCGATTGTGATGCGACAGCAGTTTTAGGCGTCGCGGATGCTTCATCTTACTTTTAATCAGAGCAGTTTCATGAAGACTGGTGGAAGACACTTGTTTTTTTGAATGCAGAAATCATGCACAGTACTTTCAGGAGACTTCAGAGGCACACACATATATTCACTGCCAGCTTCTATTATCTTGATTGCAAACTTGCTCTTGCAACTCATGATCTCATGATTTGTAGGTCAAATTTAACCTTCATACTTCTCATCAAGTAAAATGTCTCAGTGATATTCATTTCTTACTTCTGTTTTCACACTTTCACTAGACAGTCAAAAACCACATCCAATATGAAAAATCTTATTCGGGCTTTGGTAACGTCTTTTCAGGGTTAGTTTAGGTCATTCAAAGGCGGTGTTTTTGGAATAAAAAATGGCAACTTTTTTGTGATTATGGGTCTCGTTGTAACATTATTACCCATATGACTTATTTTGGACTATTAAAAAAGGAATAAAACTTTTAAGACTTCCTCTCCGTGAATGGAGCATCAATACAGATCCTATAGTGTTGAATCAACCAGTTTTCTGGAGGACTTGAATGATCCAGCGTCTTGCTGCTATACAGCCGCACATCCAAATATTCAAAACAATACCAACTTCACTGGTCATTTTCAGCAGCAAATGCCTGCTTACTATGGATATGAGTCCAGGTTCAACGTTCCTCAACAACAACCAGTTCGCTATGACCCTAGGATGTATACAAATCCGCCTTTAGGTTATTCAAATCCAGGATCTCAGTATGATTGTAGTAATAATCGTCAGCAGTTAGTTGCGCCTAGATGTGGTACTTATTATGAAAGACCTGAACAAGGTTGGCGACAAAACTCTTCCTATGTTTCACAAACTTACAATGTACAGCCAGGTGATGCACGTTTAGTGAGACCTCATCCTCATGTTAACGAAGTACATCCTCAAACTCAAAATCAGTTTGCATACCGTGCCCCTAATGGTCAAAACCTGCCACCAAAGGCAGTAGGTGTCCCAACTTATGTAAATGGAAGTAAAGATTCTGTCTTCCAGCATTCCAACCAGACACAACCTAGCACCCAATATCATGGTTTGCAAACAGATCCAGGCTGCTCGTATATGCATAATGCTGATTTTAAGTCAATTCCAAAGGCAGCTATGCAGAAAGAGGAGTCTAACAGGATTTGTGATCGTTTGTCGCAGTTATACCGTATGTCTTCTACTTCTCCATCTGTTCAACAAGAAATCGCTTTTTTACAGGAGAAGTTGAGGAACTTAGAATCATCTGATGTGGTTCCTGACAAATCATCCCTTCAACAATTCTACGCACCTCAGAATTGTAATGATAGGATAGTCGATAATGCACCACATTCCTCGCAAATGAGTTTTAGCCAGACTTCGTCCATATACCAACCTCCAAGATACCTTGGTGACCCCAAATTAGTCTGTACAAACAACAGTAGTTCCAACCTCCGATTGGGTTTTGCTCCAAATGATGCAATAAATAATCCACTTGAGAGCATTAATTCTTCTGCTTGCGTTGTGACCTGCATTTCATCTGTACCGACTACTGTCCCAAGTACGTCGTACGCATACGTTGCACCACATTTACAAAGTAGTGCTTCGAATGTAAGTGAAAATTTTCCTGTTTCGACACCATGTGGGTATCCAACTCCTCAATGCCCACCAGCCAATCAAACAGCTGCGTCAAACAGTATCCCTTACTGCTATGATGAAAGGACTATATCCACAGTAAACAACGCACCTCCTGCACCCAACCAGTTAGGCAACGTTTCGGATTCCAACCATATCACATCCTCAAACAACAATAATGTGAATTCATGTATAACTACAAGTTGTATGTCTAATTTTTATCCGGGAACAAATGTGTCTAATGGTTTTTTGGAAAGCTCTGTCCACCAGCAGGGACAGGACTCACTTTCATCACCAAGTGCAACATTAGCTCAAAATAACGTCACCGTTCCCAGTTCTTCGAATCCACCGAGAAACCACCAAACTTTCGAAGATTCACAGTTAAAGTCTGGAAACGTTCCTCACGTGCCCACCTGTGTCGTCGGCAACTCTGAAGCTGATATTTCCAAAATGGTGTGTAGCACTCAAAGTGGTGTGTTAGGATCGGTGGATACTCACTCGTTCCCACTAACTTTTGAAAATGCTCAGCAGACTCCTCATGGGTCTACAATACATTATCGACAAGCAAACGAAAGTCAGCAGCTTGAAAGTGTTCCTGATACCTCTTACAGTCTGTTCCGTAAAAATGTCTCAGAGTCGTCATGTAATGATTCTTTGCCAATTACTCCTGTTAGCTTTTCTCAGTCGTATCAAAATTACGGACAGTATGTTTCGCTGAGTCAAGATTCTCGACCAAGTATGAGTGTTGCGAGCCATTGGAACCAACATTATCAAGTAAGTGGTTTATTCTTTATTATAATGAGTTAGCATGTACTAATTGATGGTATATACTCAAGAGAAACTGTTAAGATAATATTCAGGTTATCCCATAACTGTTACGCACTAACTTTACGTTGTATATCACGAGTGTTAATTTAAAGAGTAGACAATGAAGGCTGATAATAATAGTTACTATTCGTTGCCATTCATGTTAAGATATGCTAGTAGGAATGTCATTCCCCTGGAAAAGTCCTATTACTTCACTTAAAATATTTGAACTAAGAAAATTCGCATTGTGCAGTTTGTTACAGACTTACTTCATGATTTTTCTTGGTGGTATTAGGTCCATAAGTTTACGAGTATAAAGCAGAGTATTTGACTTGGTTAGTGATGCCAGTTGACATTCCCAACTCAGACTAAAACCAAGCAAATACGCAGACAATGAGTATAAAAATGAATCCTTGTCGAACTTCAGGTGTTTCAATACCATATTTACTTCTGTTTCTAAGCTGAATTTGTAAATTATCTTTTAGTATGTCTGTCTGTCTGTCTTTTTTCAGTATAGAACTTTGCACCGATGTGTAGCAGTTCAAGTCGCCACACTCCATGTAGCACACAAAGCAAGAGAAAGTAGAAATGCAAAATAGAGACAGTAGACATGGATATAAGGCAAAATGAATATAGTTTCATTGAAAATTATAAGTCACAGGGAATGGATGCATCTGCGCCATTGGGAACGATTTTGAGCCATATCACCGATTGTCCCAAGGACCCCAACCCGCCAACCAGGAAGTCTATACCTCCCTACGTGGCTGGCTGGCTTAAACTAACTCTTGTGGATTTCATTGACTGATGAAATCATGTTTTCGTTTGACCACCACTGGCTCTTTTTCAACCTGATCCATTCTATGTCAGTTAACATTGCCCGTCGAGGAAGGCGATGACTAGGCATATGTAGCACATTTCCTAATCATCTCAGCCGATGTAGCTTCACAGCCTCATCGACTGATTTTCCCTCCTTACCTAGCACTCGACGCCTAACTTCAATATTGTTCACCCTATTATACCATTTAACACGGGAGATAGAACGCAGACACCTATGATCAAAGACAGCTAGTCTTTTCATTTCTTCCTCTTAGGGTGACTGTGACATGTTTTGTTGAAATGAAGTTAACCCAAATGAAATTATTTCAAAGTAGCTCGTTGTAAAAAGGTGGCTATAGATATTCCTATCATTGTTCTAAATGGTACCTTACACTTACTTTCATCTAATCTCATTTACACTTAGCAAAATCGCCTGTATCGCTTGATATTCCATAACTTATCAGTCGTTATAGATACCAACGGTTGGTATATCATGTAAGAAGGTATTGGTTTGAACTAGAATCCTTGGTAATTAGACAGATTAGACAATATATCTTAAACCAGTTGGACTACAAGCCATAAATTTATCAAAATTAGGGTAGTTTTTGAGTTCACATTGGTGCTATGTGTCTGCTCTTTTGTTACGGCCTTTCAAGGGGGTTAAAAGCAGGGTTAATTACCTAGGATATCAGGGACATTGTTATATTAAGACAGCTTCGCTCAGTGTATTTTGTTCTCACTACTTTGGCTTGTAACCTATAAGCTGCTGAAAAATTTTGATCAGCAATAGATACTGCAATCTACTCCATGAATGTGCGAGTAGTTAGTTGTATTTAGTACGTAACTTTCATTCTACTATTCGGAACTTAAGTCAACCAGTGGTTTGACGTACTTAGGTTTATTATTTAGGAAGTATGTCTAAGGCTTTTCAAAGTAAAATAAACTGCGAAGGAAGCATTGTTGTAGTTGAATGTGCAAACTAATTGCCTTTCGAACTGGTTAGCAGTTGCGTTATTCATTCCTGGTAACTATCTTCAACATATGCTAGAACAATGGTATGAACTGTACAGGGATTCCGAAACTTCTAAGTCTTGAGGTATGAGGCAATGGATATCGGTAACTACAAAAGTCAGATTGCCTTCATTTGACATGCGCTCACGAAACTACATCTACTATGTAGTGACATACTTCCCATTTACCTGAACATTCCTTCGTGAAACAGGTTTAGAACCTGTGGTCCACTAGCTGTTATTTGAATTTCCTGTCTAATAGGTCACGAATAAACAGACGTAGGATATAGCATTACCTTGTGGCTTAAACTGCCATACCTCACAAAGGAGGCTTAAGCATTTTACTTTCAGCTAATTGGTTACTGATTCACATTCCCACGTACTCTACTTGGGCAACTAAGGCAGTATTATTGACCCTTACATAATAATTTTGGCTTATGACCTATAAAACCTTCCAAATAACTGGTTTGTCGCAACTTCCCCAATTGAGAAACATGAACAATTTAATTTGGTCATACTACAAGGTTTTACCTTTTATGGTGTGAACGAGGATTCATTTCAAAAGGGAACAAATTGCAGTTATTTCTAGGTGGCCAATAACTGACTGAGTTTAAACTAACAATTTGTACAAAAGTGCAGCAGTTCAAGCTGCCACACCATTTAGCAAACAAAGGTAGAGGAAAAGAAATAAATTCAAACTGCGATGAGCAGTAATGTACGGCAAAAAATTATTATACAAAAAAGACAATATGTCTGATTACGATAAGTGAATCCACCTACTTCATTGAGAACTACTTTGAGCCATATCAGCAATAGTCCCCGACATTTGATTCTTAACATTTCGGGGATTCCAGTCAAGCAGTCTGCACCTCCCTACATGACTCAAAAAAAAAACAGTAAAAGGCTTTTCCATTCCATTCTTCTGTCAGCTAACATTACTCAGTGAGGAAGGCTATGGCTTGGCAAGCTTAACATATCCTAGTCATTTCAGTCTATGTAGCTTCCCAACCTCATCGATTGCGTTCCCCTCATCATCTGACACTGCATCTAACCTCACGATATTATACCACTTGACAGAGAACAATCCAAACATTTGCAATCAAAGATGACTAGTCTCTTCATGTGCTGTCGCTTTCAACGGCCACGTCTCACAGCCGAAAAAAAGAACAGAGAGATCTATCGCGTAGCACACTTTCTTTGGTTGATAGCTGGGTTTCATGTCTACGCTTGAGATAACATAAATTGGCAAATGCCACACGAACCTTTTGTACCCATACTGAGGTTTGGTCAACGATCATTCCATTGGAGTTCGTGCAATTTCAATAAGTACTATAATGGTAACAGTCAGTGTTAGCTGAAATAGCATTAGGTTCAAAAAGATTAAGGGGTTGTCAGATAGCATGAAGTCCTTAACTGTAATTAAGACACGTAAAGGAATAAGAACTGTTTTACTGGACCCTTGCGAATGCTAAGAATCAGTGGTTTGAGACTGGTGACTTGGCTCAAAATCGTTATCAGTGAGGGAGGTGTATCCACTTCTTGTTACCATGCAGACTAAAAATCATCACTCAACTTCACTCTTCCTCGTATATATTCATTCATATTAGACTTTTAATACATGAAGTCATCTTTAAGCATTTGGTAGAGGCTAAAGTTAATACTGTTCGTATATTATAAATCAGTCGCCATTTTAGATACAGCTAATGAAGGTGCGGTATGTTTTTGAATTAAATACTTATGTTTGTTATAAAACAAGAAAGTGTTTACTAAACTTGGTTTTTAATTCCAGTCGTCACTGAACACAAATCAGGGAATCACAGGAGAAATAAATGGACAACATTTACAAACCATCGCTCCGGCACCACCCTCACATTCGATTGTGGTGTCTTGTGTACAGATGCCTGGAACTCAGTGTATTGAAATGAGTAAATTCAGTGGTTTGGCTGGTAGCGATGTGTCCTACACACCCATACTGCCAAAGCCTACTGACTTACAGCCCGTGAAAAAAACCAGAGGTCGTAAACCCTTAAATCGTGGGAACGAAACTGACAAACAGCGTCAACAAAAACAAAGAAAGGGACATGAAGCTGAAACCACAGCTAAAGAAGACCAGTCCGACACTACACCGGATAGATCTGTTTTCGCAACTCCGACAGCGAAACGTCCACGGGGACGTGCTCCAAAGAAGCCTAAGATCGACACCGAGACCACTATTAATATAGCTCCAGACCCATTTGCAATAGAGGGTGTGGACGACACTTCTGACACAAAGGCTGATGAATCTCCCGCTTCAGACTGTAGAAAGCGCCGAGCTTCAATGCGTCCTGTTGAAGTAAGGAAAAAACGGAAGTATAGAAAGTCTTTAAAATTCTCTTCTGACCTGGTGAACGAATCTTCTAGCACATTGCAGTCTCCAGAATTAACGTCTCCAGATTCCACAAATGCAACTGAAACGGTAACAAAGGTGAAAGTTGTGCGAGCTAGACCTCGTCCGAAGAAGCGAAGGTATGTTTTTATTTTCATAATATTTATGTGAATCGTTTGATATTTTTCAAAGATGGAACAGAAGTTAAGATGCTTTTTTTTCTGGTTTTCAGTATACTAGCCTATAAGTTGCACCTACTGTATGTGAGTTAATCGCACTATTAAACCATATAAAATTCAAATAACTGATCAGAATTTATATTTAGTGCATTTAGCAGCGAGAGACAATCTCACCATTTCTAGCGTAATTTTTATAAATCCATTTTACCTTTAAAGGCTATTTCAAGACTAAAACTAGTCTTTAAGTGATTTTCCCGCTGAAATTTAGATTTGTCATTTGTAAATTACACGATTTGCAAATCCAAAGTATCCGGATCAAAATGTAATTTGATTGATATCATAAATGACAACTAAGAAAGACGAAAAACCACCGCGAAGACGTAGATGTTGATAGGTGTAGTTTTAAGACTTATCATCGGCCGCCTGCAATCACCTCTACCAATAATCAGGTCAACTGATGTGGTTGTGGTAACCTGTTACATATTTTTTGGAATATGGTGAATTCCCCCAATAATCGCTTAGATCCGCCTGTTTATTGAAAGGCCTTTGTAATTGGTCATTTGTTAGAAAGTTATTCCCATTGGTTTTTAAATGTTTTGTTATATACCTTACACTGTTTTTTATTAGATACCAAACAGCTTAATTAAGTTTGTTTTGTTTTTAGGCCATTGCCTACCTTAATAAGACGGAAGAAACGCTCAGCGTTCTATGGAGATGATTCCGGATCTGAACCGGAAGTATCCGGTCGTGCTGCAAGTCGGGTCTCTGAGGTTCGACTTCAATCCACGGGAGTTCATGACGCGAACAGTGTAAGTGCTTTTGTTCGTTTGCGCTGGTTTTTGCTGCATTTTACTGTGAAATTTCGGTAGTGGCTACGTATTTATTTTTGATTGCGGCAACTTTTTTGTATTCATGTAGTTCTGTATGGAAGCTCTGTAAAAAAAATTCAAGTGTAATTTATGGGAACTCTAGCGTTGTTTCTGGTAAAAAGTTTAAATAAGTGAGACATTCTATAATAATTACCTATATTCAGATAGTTTATACTGATATATAAGTTCGATGAAATCACCACCTTGAAATAAGAATATATTTCCCCACTTTCTCACGTGTTTTGTGGCTTTATTGATGCCTGGAATCTAGTGTGAATTTATTTTGGAGAATATTATTTCATTCTCACATTTTTCAGAATATTCGTGTTATGCAAAGTGAACCATTTCATCATCATAAAAGTAAAAAAAATAATCTGGCAACCTCTGCATACAAAAGTTTAAAAAAAATATTTTCGCTCATTATTTTATTAATTTTCTGGCAGAGTAGCACACATTCAATTGAACTATCTCAAATTTTTGGTTATTAGTAAGTACATCAAAGCTGACTACTCTAATTTATGTGTACAACAAAGATTTGCTGTCACAGACAATCAAATTTTTATGCGGACGATGTGATTTGTTCGGCATACGGTATCCTAAAGACCCGCATCTATCCTTCTGCTTTAGTAATTTATTTACCTGGATTCTCTGACTATTTTCTGATGTTTTTCAACACGTTAGAGCTTCTTTATTGCTTAGTCATTCGATAATATTCGTCTGACGTCGTCAGCCTGGAAAGTTTGGATGAAAGTGGAAGTAACCAGTATTAAGTGTCGCATCTTTCGTAGTTTTTTTCATAAGTGTCACACGGTTTTTCTCGATATTTCATTGTCACATCATTTTCGTGCTATAAAAGCAACATAATTTTGTACTGCAAATTGAATGCAACAGATGAGTGGAAATGCCTTAACAACATACAAATTTGCAATTATTGCGTCAGGAATCATTGCTGTAGTTAGTTTACAAATCAAAAATAGCAGTATCATTATCGCTGAAAGTGGTAAAGACAAAGGGGAAAATAGACACGGAATATTGACGCATGATTTTACAATTTAAATACCCATAATTCCTGGAGAATTGTGTGTTAAATGTATGTGTCAGCAGTTGTAAAATCAACCTATTTCCTATGAATTTTTTCTTTCAACTGTTTTAGAAACGCCGTTCTGAACGACATACTGGTGATCGGAAGAGTTACACAGATGATTTGGATCTTAATCTCACTGACGACGAGACTGATCGGCAGGACGGTGAAATGATCACGTTGAATGATACCACTGTAAGTAATTCCAACGGACTTCGTAAGACCGAACAGTATTAGAATCGCGAAATCATTTCATTAACTAAATAAATAACAAAACAGAAACTAAGAGATGAAGACGATGAGTCAAGTCAGAATGCAATTCGAATTGAATCATGATTGAACTCCTCTACTGCAGTTTTTGCTTATCCCGCACAACTGCCTAATCTTCACATCTCCAAAAAGCTTTCAACGTCAAACAATAGCACAACTTCGCATTAAAGATTAACGAAACATTCTTGTTAGGGATCATCAGGGTAAAATTACTTACCAGTGTATATGATTGCATTTCAAAATTATTTCACATCAGAATAAGAACAATTAGGGCAAATAATTGTTTACAATAAATTCTTCAGGTTTTACTGTTATAAATCCATGAATTTTGGCTTTGTCAAGTAACCAGTAAATGCAAATCAGAATTATATTAGAAACTATATTGTAGCACAAGTACTAAGTGAAAATGATAATCAGTTAGTTTTGATATTATCATTGAAATCCATATAAAATGTATGGTTAATAAGAACATGGGGTAAAATGAAATTCAGGAATTCAATAATGATGTGTTCTTTTTTTTACTTATGATCAAAAAAAGTATAAGTTTCAAGGAGTGAGTAGTAGTCAGTGATGTGAAACAGAGTATGACTACTACAGAGAAACAAACAAAAGACTGAGATACACTATAGATGAGTAACATATAACAATAATTAGTAATGAAATGAAAGCGATGGTTATAGTGTAAACACAAAAGTAATATTAGTGAACGATTATCATGTAATGAATAATTTAATAAACTGGAAGGAAAAAGATTATGTGTGAATACGATAACAAATGTGAGAAGTATTACGTAAACCCAGGGTAATATAATATGCTTTAAATCCCTATCCCATTGTTTCATGGACATATACGTCATTTCAAATCTTTTACGATTTCATAAGCCTCCTTATGAAGTTTTTTTACGCCTGGGTTACATTGTACTTTTTACATTTGTTATTGTATTCACACGATCCGTTTCTTTCCACTTTATTAATTTCTTTATTAGTTGATAATCGTCAACCAGACTGAAGTAAGTTGATTTAATTGAATTTTAGATTTTCCCGTCGATTGATTGGACGGAAGTGCTCGGTCTCAGATTGACATGTCGGCTTCTTGAGCAGATGCTTCGACGAAGTTGAGTTGAATTTGAACTAAGACCAATTGGCATCGAGTCAAGTGCTTAAGCCAGCGGGCTACCTTCTCATGGTTTTCAAAATAATGGGGAAAAAATTAAGATGTGGAAATAGAAAAAAAACAAATACGTACTTGGAGATAAAGACCAGAATAACTGAGCAATATTAGCATTGTAATACTCTTGGTTAGCACGCAGGGAGAATAGGAAAAAAACTTTTTGAATTCCTTACTATGGAGTGTTGTATCATGACTCCTATATATAGGAGATTAGATGTCGCCTAATTTCCGAACATTAAAGCGAACAATTAGCTCACGCAACTGAGCCTTCAACTTAAATCCTTATTTTCAAGGAAGTGGGAAAACCCCATTCTTTGCTTTGGGACATTAACATGCTTCTGCTAAAGTAATTCCGAATAATAAAGGCTCTGTAAATCTGTTAGATAAAGACAAACCATATTCACTAACTTTGCAGCGGCATACAGACATATGTGCTTTAGGCTTGTGTGTGTTTGCCACTTGGATAAGAAATTAGAACAACAACAACACTATGGTCTCTACGCAGTCAAGCTTATTCTCGGAATAACTTGAAACCATGTGTGTGTCTGTCTGAGCATTCTGTATACAATTGTTTTAGTTTACTTTTACTATCCTGTTTTTGTTTTCTTCTCTATATATACCTCATAATTCATAAGAATGAATCAAATAAAAAAAAATTTTCAGAAATAATGTGCTTACCGTTACTGATGGATTAGATTAGCATTTTCCTAATTCCGTTTTATGTATTCGGAAATATATATATTATGTGTGTGTAAAGGACGTTGCTGAAGATGTTGACAATAAGGTTGTTGAGGCGGTACTTGGTCGGCGAATCACTAAACGATTGGTCAAGAAGATTACTCAGACTGAAATTAAATCCACGGAGGATAAAGAATCACAAAATCCCTTAAACACTTCAGAGAAAAATTCTCAAATCACTGTAACAGAAGAAGAGGAGGAAGAAGAGGTCGAGGAATTTTACCTGAAATACAAGTCCTAGTAAGTTCATAGTATTTAGTTCTTAGTGTTCAGAAATAAATTTATTTACCACATATTACCAAATTGGTAATATTGATTATTATTATTTTGTAGATTATTTTCTGATTTTTTTAACGTTTACAATTTATGCAGAAAACTACTGCTTACTTTTGTTTCCTAAGTTGCTTTTTTACATTGCGTGTTGTTGCTCAGTATTTACTTGATACAACTTTTCTGTAGAAGTATGGTGTTTAATGTAAAACTTATGCATATTCCTGTATAGAGAACTAAAACCAGTTAACACAAAGCATTTCCCCTTAATGTAGCAAGTTGGATGTGGTTGCTTGGATGCTTGTAATTTGTATGACTAGCATTCTTCACAGCATATTTTTTCAGGCATTTCTGTGTTCATGCTTATCAAATAAACCTTGTATTCATGTTATTATTTATATACTGAGCGTAACAAAGTTGCTGTTGAGCATATTCCGTATGTTTTGTTTTTGTGACGAATGTGAAAGGCAAGGCGTGAAGTTTCTTACATGGTTAAGTGCTATTCACGGCCTTTTTGCTTCGGAATGCTCCTCACAAAAGTGTAGTAGTGCATGCTAACGTCTCGCACTTACTGTTGGACATGCTTGTCTACTTAAGTGAACTGGAAAACCCTGACTCCAAAGCTATAATAGTGGACATGGGCTCCAGAATCCGAATGTATCGAATAGCTTATGAATCTGTTTTGGTCACTAGTAACCTTGAGGATACTCTGCTTTTGACTCTGCTTCACCGCCTTGTGGATCAGACTCCAAGTTGAAGGCTCTGAGGTATTCCTTTAAGACAACTACACCTGCTTCGGTCTGTGTGTCTGGGGAGTATTATCGCACAAACTACGAGTTCTTGTGTGGTGTGCCTAACATACCAAGTTTGTGTTTTAATGATAATAATAGTCACAATGATGATGATGATGATGGGAAACAGCTTACACAAACTACAAATTGCATATTCAGGTTTGATGGTTATGGCGTCAAATGCAGACATTACCAAAAAAAAACGTCCAGTATTTGCAAATTAAATATAAGGCAATGAAAAAAAAAGAGCGAGAATAATATAATCACTGGCTGCAAAGCTCTTTCAAACAAAAAAGAAGAAAAGTGAAAAAATGAAGTTTCTACTACAATCAAAGAAAAGATGTCATCTAAAACTATCTACTTCACTGTAGACAATTTTGAGTCGTACCGCCTAAGCTTTGATTCGCATCTATGCTGTGTTTAGGCGCATTGTTCTAAACCGCCCAGGTCAATAGTTAGTGCTTTCATAGATCGACACCACCTTCTCGTCTTACCACCACTCTCTTTCTTCCACTATGCTTGCTTTAACAGAGGATAACGAACCGTATTCCAATCACTGCTTGTTAACTTGTCTAATTCCATCACCTTACCTCTTTTTACCTGAGACCTAACTCATACAAGGGTCGTGGGTTGACTGGATCATATGCGGGCAATACTACGAGGGCAATCTTCGTTTTTCCAGGTCGTTTGCCTTTAGTGGTTGTTTTACTGCTATAGAATAGGGCAGAGGGGACTCCTATACAATAAACTCAAAATAAAATGTTCAAAGCAGCCCTAAGGTGTGAATTTTTCATTTCCATGTACTTGTTATCTAAAAAGTGGAATTGACAACTTTTCACTAAAGCAAACAACAGAAGTTGAAAAAGCAGGATTTAATGACTTCATCAAATCTCGGTAGAACTCTTCAACTGAATACGATATATATGTATATATCATTCGAAATTCATTGGGAGATATAACACTGATAAGTTAATAAACTACGTTGAATTAATCATGCAAAACGACACGTGTGAAGGTTTTTCAGATCATTCTCAAATAGATTAGGAGAAGGGAGTGTAAGAGATCACAATTCAGATAAAACGCATTACGGTTTAATTACATTATTTATACAAACAGTTTCGCTCTATACTGAAGATCAGATGGCCGGAAAGAATCACAAACAAGAAGCTTTGGGAACAAACAAAACAGGAACCAATCGCCCAACAAATATGCAAGAGAAAGTGGAGATGGATTGGACACTCGCTGAGGAGGCCGTTGGGTGACATCGCGCGTCAGGCCCTCGAGTGGAACCCGAAAGGGAAGCGGCGAGTGGGACGTCCAAGGGTGACATGGAGGAGATCGTGTGATGAGGAACTGAAACAGTATGGATTAACATGGATGCAAGTGAAAAGTACAGCAGAAGACAGAAGCAAGTGGAGGCGTGCAGTTGAAGCCCTATGTTCCACTAGGAACCCAAGGGAACAATAATAATAATACAAACAGTAGTCGTCAGAGAAGGAACTTAAATCTATCAAGAAGTACGAACTAACTAATAGTAATAATGTTGAAACGAGTGAAGGTAATGCTACTGATAAAAGACAGTTTTAAATGAATTAGGAATAACAGTAATAAAAACAGCAGTTCATGAGCAAAACATATTATCATAGTAGATTTAGAGTGATGACTATTTCCTTTTGCACACAGAGACCTGGTTTATAAACTCGAATTGCACAAGCCTCCTCCGGAATCGCAAGCATCTTCCTGTTGTTATTTTTTTGTCTGCTGATAACAGTGAATGACTCGACAGCGTCGATATCATGTCTGTAGTCCACAAGGTGCTTTGTTATCGAGCTTTTTACCACTTTGACTTCATCTGTTTTCAACCAGTTTGGCAAATGCTCCATCATGCGAGTAGACACTAAAGATCTCGTTTTCCCATTAATACATCATCCAGTTAATAAAAATTATATATTTTCACAAGACATCTGGTTATATGCCTTGGCATTTGACAGTGAAAATCAAGCAGTTACTTGGCCAAGATTTTGATTTAGGAAACTTTTAACTTAAGGTAATATGTCCATCAACAGTGTTCAAAGTATGTCTGATAGTACTTACTATTGCATTGCATTGTAATCAATCAATGAACACTGTCCAACCTAACAAATTATAGATGGAAAGAAACCTTATGCGCATCAAATATGTCATTTTATTAAAGGATAGTAGTGTTACTCTTATGAGAAGGCTGGTGGTATCATGCATTCAGAAACTCATTAACGGGTCTGATGACCTTTGCTTCACAATTATTAGTTTTGCTGCAGGTGGTCTGAAATTAAGGATATGTGTTAGCGCTTCATATCATAAAATCAGTTCCTTGTTTTCATCTTTTGTGAACAGACTTCCATTGTCTAGAAAGACAGTGAACCATCCAGCATATAGATAACACAACTACTACGCCAATTTTTCTTAAGTAATAATAATTATAAGATTTGATAGTGTGGAAAATTCCCATATTATGAATTAAAAGTCAATCTGAACGAAGAATATTCTTTTCAATAATTTCTCTTCAGGTTCTTACAATTATAAAGTATAATATTTGCTATCGTTACAATAAGGCCAGTTATGCGGCAGATACCTTTCAATTTATTGATAAGATCAAAAACTTGAACACAACTGGCAAATACATGGCATCACTTGATGTCTCATCTCTATTCACTAATGTGCCTCTAGTGGAAACCATCGACTATATCTGCGAACAGATTATAGAAAAGAAATTGTGCACTGATATTTCGATTAGTAATCTGAAACAACCACTTGCTAAATGTACAACAAATGTTCAGTTCTTGTTTAATAATGAAATATACAGACAGATTGATGGAGTAGCCATGGGATCCCCACTGGGACCTATTTTCGCGAATATATTTCTAGCAAAACTAGAAAGTAGTCCGTTGAAAGAGGAAATAGCAAATATGGAAATGTATTGTCGTTACATGGATGACACTTTTGTAGTGTACGATGAAGGGTTAATTAGTGATTTGATTGTGAGCAACTTCAATAATGCTCACCCAGCGGTCCATTTCACCTACGAAGGAGAATGCAACGACTCTCTACACTTCCTCGACGTCCTACTAACGAGAAGAGAGGATGGTTCCGTCAAAAGAACCATATTTAGAAAGCTAGAGACCAAAGCTCAGTATACACACTTCCTTAGCTTTGTACCGATGAAATACAAACGCAATCTGATCAGATGCTTAGCATTTAGAGCAAGGTCGATTTGTTCCGAAGACTGTGTAGAGAAAGAACTCCAGGTCATCCGAGACATTCTAAGTGAGAACGGATATCCAGAGAAGTTCATTAAAGCAAACAGGTTACAATAGCCGTAAACATGAACTGACAACGGTGGAGAAAAAGCCTCTGTTTTTACGTCTCCAATTCAAGGGAGATACTCCTGCGGAGATTCTATCGCAACGTTTAACCAGGGCGATCAAGAAAACTTTCTACTCTGCACGCCTGTGTCTATCCTTCAGTAGCCGTCCAATGTTCACCCAGCAACTCAAAGATGTTTTACCTAATCTTAGCTCTTCTTCATGCATATACCATTTCAACTGTTCCTGTGGTTCAAGTTATATAGGGCGCACGATTAGGCAGGTTCGTCTACGGGTTCGAGAACATTTACCAGCTGGGTTCAGCAGAGGGGAAATGAAGTGCATAAAAAGCTCGATCCTGTCACACTTCGTCGATACTGGACATCATATCGATGTCAACACAGCTTTCAGGGTTATATACCGAATTCCGAAGTCGTTATCACGTACAGTTCGCTTACGTCTTCTACACATAGCTGAAGCTGTTGCAATAAGATCGACTAAACCGGAACTTTGTATCCAAAAAGAACACGTCCAGACGCTGTTCCTACCGTGGCCAAACTTGGATTGATGATTCTTCTTCTCACCAAGAGTGCTCCTTCCCCTTAACCCTCTTGGCCTTTTTTTTCCTTTGCTTATTATTACAATTATTATTATTATTCGTCATAATTTATGCCCTTCATGCAAACATTCTCTCAATACTATAGAATTTTTTTTTTCGTTTATACTATCCGGACTTATTATTAGTGATATTATCTCTTTTCTCAATATATGCCTCCACCTGTTTCATTTCACATATTCGTTATCTCATTATGAACCTCCCATTGCAGTCTTACTATCTCCTGTTTAACACAGACCACTTTGTACTAGCCACTCACCTGACACCTTTTATAACCTTGAACTGACTCGTCAATTTTCCTACCCCCCACTCTACAAATCTATTATGATTAATCACCATTGTCTCCCGTTTTACATTATTTTGTAATCGAATTCAGCCTAGCCCGTTTGTCACACAAATACGACTATTTATTTTGACACCCCATAACTAATCTGTTATTCTACGTTAAAAAATGTATCTGCCGCATAACTGGCCTTATTGTAACGATAGCAAATATTATATTTTATAATTGTAAGAACCTGAAGAGGAGAAATTATTGAAAAGAATATTCTTCGTTCAGATTGACTTTTAATAATAATTAAAAAAAAAGCAAACCGAAATTCAAGTATAGATAAGTAGTCAATATTCACAATTATGCTTTTTACACTTGTTATCATCGAAGGTCAGTGAATTTTTGGCCGGCTCAAGTATATAATAATAATAATTTACTTTATTCCAAAAACAGTACTTGTGATACAGAATGGAATTTTCAGCATTAATCACAATATTGCATCTAATTTCCTCAAATTATAAATAAAATTAATCACACAGAAAATTTTTCTACATTTACAATAGGGGTAATATTAAAAAAAATAAAAAAACATGCAGCATATAAAATGGAAATAATAATAATGATAGCAGCTAAGGTAATGATAATAATACAAGTGGAAATTTCCGTGGGCTTGTTTTACACAGTATTGTCGATGCGGTATACAAATCCTTGCATGATTAAAAATATTGGATATAATGTTCTCTTTACATGATATGGTGAGGGAAAAAACAAAGATTACAGAAGTCATAGTGAAAAGTTGGTGTTTGCAGTTATGAAAGTAAAAACAAAGAATCAACAGGACCATAAATATAGTAGAAATCATAAAAGTAAAACTTGAAGGTATATAAGGGTGGATGGAGGAGATTGTTTATTTACTAGATGAAAAAAGGTTAGTCAATTCTTGCCTGACGCTATTTTCATCACATAAAATACGTGCCAAGTATGGTATCATAGAATTTTTATACTTAGACGTGCGAGCATAGTTTTCTGAAGTTACTTCTCGTTCTACCTGAGGAGATGCAAGGTGAAAGCTGAGGGTGAAGTGGATGCTCCAAGTCAGACAAAATCCCTTTAGCAAATTTACTGCACGAAGTCAAATGCCTATCGACAACGACGTTAACTATGTAGTCCACTGGGACACCACTCATCCTACTGACAGTCTTCAGCATTCTACGAATTGTGACAAAGTCCTTTTTAAGCAAACCAGGAAAGAATAAGGGTGAACAATAAAGAAGAATAGGTAGGATGCAAGAGTTTATGAACTGTAAGAGGAAGGGTTGAGTTATACCCGAGTGCCTTAACTTCTTAATGTAAAATGTCAGGCGGAATATTTTACTGGAGATCGCTGAGACATGGGAAGACCAGGAGAGATCAGAAGAGAGAATAAGTCCAAGATACTTAATTTCTGATTTAATTCCTATATCATTGTCATCAATCTTACAACTGCCATGAGAATCGACGGCTTCTTTTAACTGTCGTTTACATCTTAAGCTGAAATTAACAGTTTGACATTTAGAAGGATTCAGTTTAAGACCGTTAGACTCAGACCATTTACTGACTCCCGACAGAAAGCTATTTATTTTGGTACAATCTAGCTGGGAGTTAACAGCCATTGAAACAGTTAAATCATCAGCGTACTTCACAAAGTTTATTTCATCAGACTGAGGCAAGTCATGTAAGAAGAAAGAAAAAAGAAAAGGAGAAAGGACAGCGCCTTGAGGGACACCAGCTTCAGTAGGCAATGAAGTGGAAGACTTCCCTTTATACACGGTATACTGCTTTCTTTCTGAGAAATAAGAATGTAACCAGTTAACAGCCCAACATTCTGTTTGACTTGCAGCAAGTTTATTTAATAAGATGTCCCTAGGGACCGAGTCAAAAGCAGATGTATAGTGTAGGAAGGCACAACGAACAAATTTAGCCCCTTTGTCTAGACTGGAAGCAATGTTATGATATAAGACGGCAGCTGCATCTAAAGTGCTTCTACTGTGCTTATAGGCAAACTGTTTTGGGTCATTAAAGGATTTAAGAGAGGGTACAAGACTAAGTAAAAGTAGTTTCTCCATAGTTTTCAAAAAAGGAGAGGTAATAGCAATGGGTCTAAATTTGACACATGCTCCAGTAGACGATTTAGGTATGGGTACAACTTTAATGTCTTTCCAAACAGCAGGCACAATATTACTGGAAAAAGATTTGTTAAACAGATCAGTGAGAGGGTAACATAGAATATCAGAACATTTTTTAAAAATAATACTAGGTACATGATCTGGACCTAAGCTCTGGGAAGGGTTCAGAGACTTGAGGCACTTTTGAACATCATTTGTGTTAAAACCTGGAAAGGGGCTATTATTAACACTAGTGATGCTGGGAAGCATGGAATTTGAGGGAGAATAAATAAAAGATTTATTAAGAGTACATACATCAGAAGAATACGGAATATTGTTAATCTGCTTACCACCAGTGATTTCCTTAAATAGTTTCCACATATTTGAAGCATTTTTGCAGGATATGAATTTCTGGTTATATATAACATTCAATCTCTGCATTTCAGACTTGATAAGGAAGTTAGTTCTTTTTACGCCACTTTTATCTTTCATTTTATATAGCTTTCCCTTCTCTCTACGAAGCTTTTTAAGTTGAGGGGAGGAGAAACGGTCGAATTTGACGAATAGTGTTTCTTTTGGGCAGCAGATTTCAAAACAGAATTTCAGATAAGACGTAATATTGGCGATAGTGTCATCAAGTGAAACATCATTAAACAGATCCCATCTTGTGTCACTGAGCATGTTTCTAAGATGTTGTACATTCTCATTTGAGTAACATCTGTGAACAACTTTCTTGGACAAGTTAGAGAAGGCTTTTTTGTGTAACTTTCCGTAAATTTTGGGTAGAACTCGTACAATACAGTGATCAGAGTTTGAGAGTGGAGCTCTTTTACGAGCTTCGTATATTCCAGAATCATTTATAAATACTAAATCAAGCGAAGTATCTTGTCGAGTTGGGAAGTTAACCACATTTTCATGACCCAGTAATGTAATAAAACTGTAGTCACTGGCGTTGAAGTCACCAGTTACTACAGACAAGGAGTTACCAAACGAAGCAGCAGCAAAAATAGTGAATTCGTCAGCAAAGATCGATAGTTCTGAGGGACTGCAAGAAGGTGTGACATAGATATTTGTGACAAAAATGCAGTTAACTTAGATAAGTGTTTAGGTCGGCATTTAACAGTTATACAATCAATGTTGTCATTTGAGAATTTGAAGCAGACGTTGTTGGCAGTAGACCACTGAGAATTAATAAAAGTGGCAACACCTCCACCTCTCTTCTTCTTTGAGCTGCATCGGTCTTGTCTGTACATTGTGAAATCAGGTAAAGAGACTAAATTATCGTCATATGAATCGTGCAGCTAAGTTTCTTGAAGAGTAATTACAGCAGTATTACAATATACATTTGAGTATAATAGAGAATGCAAGTAATTAATCTTGTTTGGTAGAGATCTGCAATTTGTGCTCATAATCACAGGAACAGTCATCAAATGCATTGGAGTACGCTTTAAAGCTCGTTGCTATCCACCATGAGGCTTTTTCTTGAGGTTGTTAGAAACTAGTAAATCAGCCGGTTGGAACCGTTTTAAATAACCGCGAGAGTAAACAATACGATTAGGACACATAATTGAATGATTAAAAAAATCCTTGGAAATAGATGCAATATATAGGATGGAAATTTTGGTAGCCCAAGATTTAAGCAGGCCTTTATTATGTTGAGATACACACCGAAACTTGATAAAAGGTTTCGTATTTATTCTGCCACAACGTGTATGTTCTTCCTTTATGAGTTGAAAATGCGTCCGTCGGTAAGTTGGTTGCTACTATTTAGAATCCGAATCCCTACTGTCACCTAAAACAAATATTTTCGACTATAATATTGTTCAGTTGTGTATTAGTAGGTTTTCATTATGCCTAATACATGTCACACTGGAATATTTCCATGTTATTCCACATCTGTCGACAATCCTTCCAGTGGCAGATATGTTGACAGTTGAAGAATATTCAAATTACTTGGTATTATTCACTCAAAGTGAAAGAATGATAATTACCAGATATATTAATATTATCATCATTATTATTACAAAGTTGAATCGTTTCATCTTTTCTTCTGTCTCTCTCATTCTAGTTCTTATCTTCACTGTGAATGGCGAGCATTAGATGAGATTAATGATCCGCGTATCCTTCCAAAAATCAGGCGATTTGAAATGAGACAGGCTAATTCTGCACGTACTGAAGTAAGTTGTCGCTTAAAATTATCACATATTCTAGTATAATAACTGGTGAACAAGGTATGCATTCCTTCTGTTCCTCTTTTGAAAACAGATTTTAGAGTCATTTCGATTAGTGTGAATTATTATTAATGAGAAGGAATAAAATTTGTTTCAGTTGAGATAAATTTTATTTGATTAAGAAGTAACTAAAGAATGTAGTGTGTATAACCGTGTCATCTGGTGAATACATCATTAGTTAAAATTATCTAGTTGATAGTATATATATATTCTCACTAAATCTATCTTTTTCGTGTGGTTTATTTGTGTTCTGTGAGCTGGTTGATTTAATTGCGGAACTTTCACTGTCCTTCTAGACAACAACGAGAGCTCAGAGAACAAAACTAAACCAAAATCACCCACTTGAGCTACAAATCTTCTCCATTATTTGAAAATCTAACTTTTATTACAACATTGTCAGTTCAAATACCTTAGCGTGTTTATTTGTACTCTAGATAACAGTTCACTTGGTCTCTGAGCTTTGTGTTTCAGCTATCTCTATGTGGATAGATGTTTATCTTAAAAATAGGCTGATCACACAAGCTCACTATGATGTAACATCAGTATTATTAATGTAAGAATAGAGAACTCAGGCACTGTGATGATAGTGTGTAATTCCTATAATCTAATATAAACCATCAGTATCAATCATTCAAATTCGCCTATTCAGGTATCCTAGTGAGCAGCACATCTAGAGTTCATCAAAACACGATTAGCCGCAGTGTGGACGTTATACAGATTTAAATGTATCTTTTCTTCACTGGCTTACAGAATACAGTATTTAAAATGATATGGTAAAGCAAAAGACTAAAATTCCTATCAGTTAAGAACGATTACAAACTTCACACAATTGTAACCTGATGTATAACTTTCTGATATTCGATATTAAATTAATTTTTGTACTGTACTTCTTTTTTTTTAGGATGATGACGTTGTATTATTCAATCCGGATTATGTGGAAGTTGAGCGCGTCTTAGACGTCAAAGTGTATAGTAATGGCCATTTAGTGTCTACAGATAGGCTAGAAAGTAATGGAGATTCACAGGACCTTAGAAAATACACTAAACGACCAAAAGAACGAAATAAATTGCGCAGTGTACGTGAAGAGAAAAACAAAATGAAAAATGAAACAGTATCCGGAGATATGACTGCTTCACTGACTACGAGCAATACACAAGAATCTGTCTCTGAAATCCACTCAACAACACCGCTCACTGACGACTTTGGCGATAGTGAAACTAACTCACAATGCCCTGGTCAGCCGTCAAATACGGATGAAAAGGTTGCAGATGGTAATCAGAAGACAGATCTTGAAGTAGACTCCAAATCTGCGGATACTGTTTGTCCCAGTCCTTCTGAACAGACATTATCTACAGGTGAACAGCAGGACCAGCTTGCTGATAAAACTGATGAAAATACTCCTCCTCCAGCTTTAAAAGAATGTGAAACAGATAACAGTCCATTGGAAACCAGTGTGTTATCATCTAGTAACAAGGTGGAGAAGGATGATGAAATAGACCACCATAAAGATGAAGATGAGGACGACGAGGGGACTAGTTCTCCAGTCAACGTGACTTATTATCTAGTTAAATGGCGTTCACTGGCCTATGAGGATGCAACATGGGAAATGTCGCAGGATGTTGACCCAGCAAAAGTTAAAGAATTTCATAAACGACGCTATCCGCCAAAGAATTTTGTTGTGCCACGAGACAGTGATTACAAGGTACTGTTATTTTTATTATGTTTCACAAATTGAAGGGTTGTCTACATGTTCTAATAGTCAACCAAACAACACAAAGTATAATATCACAATTTACCTAATTTAAGTAGTAGTAGTAGTAGTATATATCGACTTGAGATTCACGCAGTGTGTAGTATAGGGACTCTTCAGTTAGTAGTAGGTTATGAGCTGAATTTGCTTTTCTTGCTGAAGTGGTGGTGACAACCGAGTACCAAGTACCAAGTGTGAGTGAAAAGGAATAGTAATATAGAAAAGCAACAGAGTTTTATTGGATATGATAAATCACAAAGAGTGAATGCATCTACGCCACTGAGAATGATTTTGAGCCATATCACCAATTGTTTCGAGCCTTCATTGGTTCTTGGCATCCCACAGATCCGAACACGCCAACTAGGAAGTTTACACCTCCATACGTGGCTGGCTTAAACTAACTGTCATAAATCTCACTGACTGATGCCATGTTTTGGTTTGATGACCACCACGAGCTCTTCTACAACCTGATCCCAAGTCAGTCAGCTAACATTTCTCATTGACGAAGGCGATGGCTAGGAATGCATGCATAACACATGTCCTGATCATCTGAACCGATGTAACTTGACAATGTCGTCGTCGATTGATTTTCCCTCCTTACCTAGCAATCGACCGACTTGTCACCTGAATATTACTCATTCTAATATACCACCTAACATGGGAGATCGAACACAAACACCTATGATCACAGTCACAGGCAGCAAGAAGGAGGACGGAGAGAAGTGCTGAGCAATAGACACATTGTTAGATCAACCGACAAGTAGCTGGATATCACGTCTACTAAGGTAGAGATGGCGTAAGTTGGAGAATGCCAAAGGAGAGCCTTCTATATCCGTGCTGAGATCTCGTGAGTGATCAGTCGCCTGAGGCTGATGCAAATTCCCGTTGGTTATCTGTACTTCAGCACTTGGCAGATTGTGTTGTAGGCATAGTTGATTAATAAGTGTTAGTTCTATCGATATCCAATTTTTTAGGCAACAATGTGTATAACTAACAACCAGAAGACATTTAAACATACTTTTTTCTCTCTCTCTTTTTCTTATACTTTCAGATTATTCGACCTGATCCTACCACTTGGAAACCAATCGATTCTAGTACGATTTATAAAAACAATAATAAATTACGAGATTATCAAGTGGAAGGTGTTAACTGGCTAACATTCTGTTGGTATCATCACCGTAACTGTATTCTTGCCGATGAAATGGGATTGGGTAAAACAGTGCAAAGTGTAACTTTCCTATTGGAAATATTTAAAGCTAATGTACAAGGTCCTTTTTTAGTCATAGTCCCCTTATCGACTGTGGGTAATTGGCAAAGGGAATTTGAAAATTGGTCAGATTTAAATGTGATCATCTATCATGGAAGTTCTGTCAGTCGTAGTATGATTCAACAATACGAAATGTTCTATCGTAAGCGTTCATCAGGTGCACCAAGACACGATGTTTACAAATTCCATGCAGTAGTCACAACTTTTGAAGTTCTTATGAATGATATTGAATTTTTTGGTCAAATTCATTGGGCAGCTGCTGTGATTGATGAAGCTCATCGGTTGAAAAATAAAAAGTGCAAACTTGGCGAAGGTTTACGATATTTAGATTTGGTAAGGCTGTCTTTTAACGTATATATATATATATATATATATATATAAATTTTCAAGTATTGGTTTTGTAGGGATTTTGTTTGATTGCATGAAGGATTTCATCATGAGCTGACATCAGTTAGAGAACCACTGGAAAACCTGGAAGTACTGGGCAGCTGTTTCTTCCTACTTTGGAACTCTTCAGCAGTACGTACCCACCGGGGTTCGAACCCAGAACCTTCTGGTTACAAGGCGAACTCGTAGACCATTGAACCAGTACTCCCAGGTTTTCCAGTGGTTCTCTAACTGATGTCAGCTCATGATGAAATCCTCCATGCAGTATATATATATATATAAATGTTATCCTAAAGAAGTGATCATGATATTGATGTAATTATAAAATGACTACATGATCGCTTTGGTGTGTTGACCCTTCGTGTTTAAAATGTGTCCTCTATTTTATATGTGACTCGTGATTTCTGACCAGTGAACTGAAGATAAGCTTAAAATATTTTGCTGGAACATTCTGGTTACTGGAATACAAGCATAATTTTGGAAGTTGCCATTAAATTACATGCTGTATGAATTATAGTTCATAAAGTAGATCAATCCGCTAAAGTCATGATTTATATCTAATTCTACTAAGTGTTTATTAATAATATCTATCTATCTGAATGATAGGGTATGCTCTTGCTTATCTATACAGATGGATTACTTTTAACTTACTGATAATCTCTTGAACTCATTTTGCACTACCACTTTGCACTATTCGTGTTTTATTTTCTAGATGTTTCACTTGCGCTGATAAATGGTTGCATTTAATGGTTATATTAAATTTTAGTTTCATCTGTTTGGAGTATAGACAGACCTTACAAGAGCAGATTCTCTTTGGAAACTTTTCATTTCTGTTGAAATCGGTGTTAATATTTATCGCCTACAATTTTACTTTTCACATTTTTAATCACTGACATACTGTTACCTCGATTTTAGGACCATCGCGTTTTGTTAACCGGAACTCCATTGCAGAATAATGTTGAAGAATTGTTTGGATTGCTAAATTTTCTAGAACCTGAGAAATTTAATTGTTCAGCGACATTTGTTGCTGAATATGGTGAACTAAAAACAGAAGAGCAAGTTGAACGGTTGAAAACAGTTCTGAAACCTATGATGCTTCGTCGATTAAAAGAAGATGTAGAAAAGAGTTTAGCTCCTAAAGAAGAAACTGTTGTCGAGGTATGTTACTACATACTAATCTATATATATATGTCGATAAAGTTTTCATCTGTAACCATTATTTTAAATATAGCAAAGCCCTAGTTTCAAGTTTTCTTATCAAATTTTTTTTCTTTCCGATAGGTGGAACTGACTAATATACAAAAGAAATATTATCGCGCAATTATGGAACGTAATTTCTCATTTCTATGCAAAGGTTCAAGTACAAATGCTCCTAATCTAATGAACATAATGATGGAATTACGAAAGTGTTGTAATCATCCATTTTTGATCAAAGGTGCTGAAGATGCTATCCTATCAGAAGCCCAAGTATGATGCTTTCTAGGATTTATTGATTTATTCTTTACTGATGCCCACTGTTAAATTATTTCAGTTGAAGTGTCACCAACGGGTCTAATGTAGTAGTAACCAGTTGTGTTAGTTGGAAACACTCATTCTACGGAAATAATTCAAGTCTCTCAATAAGTAATTGTGATTGAGTTTTGCAGAAATAACTACCATAGTCAGCTATAGTCCGTCAGTAGTAGAGTAAGCGCGTTGGACTACTCATTCACTCACACAAAGATTCACTATTGGAATTATGGTAGAATAAGTTTGTCGTAAAGATTGAAAAGCATTCATTTGGCTTGTCTTGACATAGTAGGCTTTGTGTTTAATTTTAGCCAAGAAAGAAACTCCTGGTACTCATGTTTATTTACACTTCTCTTTTTTTTGTCATACGAATAATCGCACTGTGATGCTTTCGAAGATGTTATTAGTTTGTCTTCTCTTATGTATTAATTAGCATCAGTGTTAGTGAACAGTTTGGTTGCTAAAATAGAACCAATTATTCTACACACACACTCTCTCTGTTGCAGTATTTGCTGTGTAGCCAGTTCTTCATTTTTTATTTTATTCCTTCACGTTCCAGTGGAACATAGGGCTTCAAGTTAGAGGCTTGAAGTTTCTATAGCAGTGTTTATTTTTTACAGGATGGGTTGCTAGCTCCATGCCACTTCCTCTTCACCAGCTTTTTAGTTTAGTTAGCGGGGTAAGGATGCGGGGATGACACGACCATGTGCCTACACTATGCAGACTTCATAAGTAACAGATTTTACGGAAGCATTCTAAGATAGTGTAGTTTTACTTATCAATGCAATTTTGTGGATATCTATTGTTACGAAAACCGCTTCGTCAGATTTTGCTTTCGAACAAAACATCATAAATTTTTTTCATGTCTAATGCACGCTTCACACTCACCTATCTACTTTGGACAGTATCCAAAGAAATCCCCTCTACAAATCGAAATTATTTGATTTCGTTGGATTTCAACTGTGTATTTCCACTCCACATAAATAGTGTTGAGGTTTTTGAGGTTAAGGAGTCAGATCAGAATCGTAGTGGGTGGTAAATCAAATGACACAGTAGGCCGTGTTACTATGTTTAGTCGTTTGTTACTCTGTGTGGTTCTAAACCTGTCTTTCTAACTGCATATTGTCAGTTTCTCACAAATTGCTATAAGAATAAAACTTGTGCACTGTGGTAGAGTATAATTCCATTATGGGTGAAATTTATTTTGACAAAGTTTCATAGTGTTATACAGTAATATTTGCTGATGACCACGTTTCGAGCACAATTTATTGCTCATAATCATATCATATCAAATAAATCTCACAAATTGGCCCCACTTGTTAAACTAGACACCGAATTTATGAGACAGTTAATATTCTAAAGGCAACATAAGTTTCATTGGGATTTTTAGCTTATATACTTCTAGAAAAACACATTTAAGCGAACAACATTGTTCTCATTTAGATCTCATCAGGCTTAACTCTAATATACATAACTTTACAAATAAAAATTCGAATATAAACCAATCATGGTGTTTTGTCTATAGGATAATAAGATTGTCAATCTGAACGAAGAATATTCTTTTCAATAATTTCTCTTCAGGTTCTTACAATTATAAAATATAATATTTGTTGTCGTTACAATAAAGGCCAGTTATGCGGCGGATACATTTTTAACGTAGAATAGCAGATTAGTTATGGGGTGTCAAAATAAATAGTCGTATTTGTGTGACAAACGTGCTAGGCTGAATTCGATTACAAAATATTGTAAAACGGGAGACAATGGTGGTGATTAGTCATAATAGATTTGTAGAGTGTGGGGTAGGAAAATTGACAAGTCAGTTCAAGGTTATAAAAGATGTCAGGTGAGTGGCTAGTACAAAGTGGTCTGTGTTAAACAGGAGACTGCAATGAGAGGTTCATAATGAAATAACGAATATGTGAAATGAAACAGGTGGAGGCATATATTGAGAAAAGAGATAATATCACTAATAATAAGTCCGGATAGTATAAATGAAATATTCGATAGTATTGAGAGAATGTTTGCATGAAGGGCATAAATTATGACGAATAATAGTAATAATTGTAATAATAATATTTCCTTTGCTTGACACAGACCACTTTGTACTAGCCACTCACCTGACACCTTTTATAACCTTGAACTGACTTGTCAATTTTCCTACCCCACACTCTACAAATCTATTATGATTAATCACCACCATTGTCTCCCGTTTTACAATATTTTGTAATCGATTTCAGCCTAGCACGTTTGTCACACAAATACGACTATTTATACCCCATAACTAATCTGTTATTGACTTTTAATTCATAATATGGGAATATTCCACACTATCAAATCTAATAAGATTGTGCATATAAATTGTGCAGTCATAATAATAGTAATAAGAATGGCTATATCAATAATAAAGATGAAGAAGTGAGACGATGTGTGATAACAAGAATAACGAAAAACAGCATGACTAAACAAACAAATGTTCAGGTAGACGTAGTAGTCGATAAAGGCTAAGAAAAACCAATAAACCGATTACGTAATGCTGGATTGTAAGGGAAGTAAATAAAATACGTTTTAATGAAGGTGTGATAAGATTAAGGAATGATAAGAGAAGGGTTGAAAATATACGTAAGGGGGGGTGGTTAAGTCCTAATAGGATAAGGGAGGGATAAAGGCTGTATGAACTTCGTTCGAATGCGTATAGTTTTGACAAATCATGGAAATACAGTGGGTGTGATTCGCAAACGAGAAACAAACATTAAATCATTATTTACAACACAATACACAAATTTCCTTCATTGTATATTTTTGTCTTTATTGTTATCATTTATTTATTCAAGTCAAACGAGAATGCTATCAACGAAGATGATCTAACTTTTCAAACTATGGTTTATGCTTCGGGCAAATTGGTTCTAATTCATAAACTCTTGCCTAAATTACGTGCTGATGGTCATAAAGTACTAATCTTCTCTCAAATGATTCGTGTGCTTGATATCCTTGAAGATTATCTTGTCCATCAAGGGTAAGTTTTAAATACTAAAGTAGTAGTAGTAATAGTAAATCATGTTCATCTTTAATATGTCATTTTGGGGTTGATCATGCAATAATGCTTATATTTAAACAAGAACTACTTTCTTAAAACTAATCTTTCATTCTCTTCACATTTCTGCTTTGTCTTATTTCAGTTTGTCCCAGGGTTTTCATACCTTCAGATTTACACAATGTGTGTAACATGTGATAATGGTATATTTTTTTCCGCATTACTCTTATGCAGATAAATCTGATATTCACTCAGCAGAATGGCAATACTATGGAAAGAAATCATAAAATGCGTATTAATTTAATATATATATATCCAGCCATAATTCAAACTGTGTTTAGTAGTTTTAATAGTTTAGTTAAAACAATTTCCGTACTATAAACTATTCCTCTCAGGGGATTTGCGTTGTATATTTTTAAGTAAACACCTTAAGACTGATTCAATGTTAACTTAGTGAGGATTTGATTGACAACCAAGTTTTCGAAAATTCTCCAACTTATGTCGGACTGTGACAGTGTCTACCTTCGAGTCAATTAAATCCCCACAAAGCTATCACATTTGAGAATTAATCCGCTGTGAATAACTTTAAGAAATCATTACCTTGACTTCTAATAAGGAATCGTAGCAGGATATAAAAGACCAGGTGGTATTGCATAGTGGTAGTACTACATCCTCAGTCCAGTAGAAAAGTTTTCAGTTATTGATTTGTAGGGATTTGATTGATTGGTTACAGGATTTCATCATGAGCTGACATTGGTTAGAGAACCATTGGAAAACCTGTGAGTGCTGGACAGTTATTTCGTCCTAGTTTGGGACTCTTCATCGGGCTTCGAACCCAGGACCATCTGGTTACAAGGCGAGCGAGCCACTGGGACCCAATCCAATGGCCAATTGACGACATAGCGCGACCGCTAGCCAATGTCTTCGACGAATATTTGTCCTCACACCTGACCTGCTGCACCCTACTGGTCACGACTTCCCACCAGAACTCCAGGTGACTACCGACCTGAATAGGGTCAGTCGCTAGTGAGCATCTCATTGATATTCAAGTACTGGTTTGTAAGTTTTATGATTGAATGTCAACACAATTACCACGTATAAGAATAAAACTTGGGCACTGTGGTAGAGTGTAATTCCATTATGGGTAAATTTTATTTTGATAGAGTCTCACAGTGTTATACAGTAATATTTACTGATGACGTTTCGAGCACAGATTATTGCTCATAATCATATCACAGCTGTTAATTAGCTGCCTAAAAAAGTAACAGTATGTAGTTATCTAATGGTATTTTCCATAAATATCACCAGGTCTACAAAATGCAAATAGATCAGACTTTTGTTTAACCAGTCTGAATTTGTGTCACGCCCTCCTTTTGAACTAAACGCATTTCTTGTAATATTCAGTTACAATTTCGAAAAATTCCATGTAATTGAAAGCATGTTTCAATACCAAATTGCTGACATATATCTATCCGGTTCGCACTCAATTTTGCTAGATTTTTAATTTATAAATTATTCAAATACAATTGTCTAAACAGATTTTTGAAATTAGGTATGCACTTTTCAGTGATTCCCATTTTTTTTATTGCTATATTTAGATTTCAGTTTGAACGAATTGATGGGCGTATTCATGGGCCACTACGACAGGAGGCTATAGATCGATTTAGTGTTGGTGAGTTAAACAATATTTAAAGACCTTTTGTGTTTGTGTGTCCCCACTAAAGTGTTATTGTACAATTTCCTGAATCACTAAAGAAAATGTTGGTGTTAGTTAGTTAGTTGGTGTTAGTTGGTAATTAATTGGTTCCTGTTCTTTTATAATGTGGATTACTGATAATCGAACTGTTAGTAGTTTTAGTAATTCATCCTTTCAAATGGTCAAATTATGTCTCCCTTAGTGAACTATTCACTTTGTGTTGGTTTCTTTCTCCGATTGACTGTTTTTAAATTCGTTAACTGTTTCTCAGACACTGTGAAATCTCATTTGCATATAGAGTGTTTCTACTTAATTTTTGGAATCCTCATATTTTCTCTGTTCTTCAAATTTGTGTATTCATATCAGGGATGGGGTTCTTTAGGTCTCTAAACTACCACATTTTTGTTTAGTTGTAAGTATTGATTGAAATTTATTGACTATGTGTATAAATTGAAATACCCAGCAACAATTGTGGCAATTAATGCTTCCCTTTTAAGAGTCAATAAGCTGAAAAGCCGTTGTGAAACGTTGCACACTCTGTAATATTTTCCTACAACGTAATTTCTTAATTATGTGAGCATTATCATCCTCTTCGATTGAATCATTCTTTCCAACTACCGTCCTCTGATAACAGATGCAGCTTATTGTCATTGTTGCGTAAAACGTATGTATATATATATATATATATATATCCTCATTTTGATACGGCAAACATGTCATCTGGTTGGGTAGATAATGTGTTAAGGTTGTGTAGACAGTTACATATCACCCATTGAAATAAAAGCTGGGTAAAACTGTCGCCAACTAAAGTGGAATTAATACGGGGAGTCTCTCAGCTAAATCGGTACTACACCTGGTTCGTAATACGGATATCATTAGTGTGAAATATATCAATATCCTGGTTTGGATTTCACCGGTTAAATAAATATGAAACCAACACTTGATAATATATCTGATGCTCACTATACAAGAAGTATCCGGGGTTCTAGTGAGAAGTCGTAACCAATGGGGTCCAGCAAGTCAGACAAGAGGATAGTCACTCATCTGTGACATTGACTGGTGGTTGCGCTAAATATATCTCATTGATTGGCAGGAGTCGGAATTCATGGACCATTGGGTTGGCTCCCCAGTGGCTTAATGGTCTACAGGCTCGCCTCGTAACTGTCAGGTCCTGGGCGCGAACCCCTGTTGGTGCGTACTGATGAAGAGTCCGAAACTAGGACAAAACATCTGTCCAGTATTCTCAGCTGGTTTTCCAATGGTCCTCTAACTGATGTCAGCTCATGATCCCTGGAAACCAACACTTGATAAATATGAATTTATCAAACTGAAGTTTAAGACAGAGTTATAGACAATTTCAGATATCCTTGAGCTGAAATATAGAAGACTTATTTCACCTATTTTAAGACAAAAAAGGCCATTTGAATATATATATTTCACAAAGTTTACTCACCAGCTATTTTTGGTTAATTGCTTTCGAAAAAAACTGGGTATATTATAGTCTTTAAACTGAAAAAAATATATAAAACCTTTGTTTTGAAAACAGTTAATCTCGCTGGCTGCCTACACACATTTTGCCAAAAGAGATTAACAAATCTGTTTTCACATATTTGTCACATTCTTCAAGCTCTTGGTTTTTACTCTGATATGTATATATGTATTTCAACCAGTCTTTATTTATTAGTCAGTCAGCCTTCCTACAATGTCGAAAAAACAGTCACCTCTACTAACGAATACGAATCCTTTTATGGTTGGTGTGAGACTGTTGTTGTATGCATGTATGCTGTGTGACATGTGAATTCCAATAACTGTGTATTTTTTTAACAATAAGTTAGAGCTATATCAACCTATTTACTTGACAATACTAGGACCCTTAACTAAACTTATGATTAACAATAATAGAATTATTGTTTAGTGAATTCACTATTCTACTACATATACAGAAAACTACTTATGAAGTAGTTCTGAATGAATTATAACTGCGTATTATTCATACAACCATAGAAATGATGTCATTCGAGTTATACAAAAAAAATCAACAACACAGTTTTAAACAACTTCGTGACTCTTGGTATTATAATAAGAAGTATGCTGGTAATCAGTGTACGTTATATTATACCTGTGTCTGTTAAAAATTAATTCTTTTTTTTAATAATCTCTTACTATAATTTGCATATCGTTTGTATTCATCACCTGAGTGTAGTGAAGTGAAGGCTTAACCCCCCTTTGTAATATCACATCGTTTTATAATGCAAACAGATAACGTGTATTTCACAAAACGTCTTATTTAGAGAAAAAGTATAAATAAGATTAAATTATGAGGATATATCAGCGTATCAGGTAATCAGCTAAACCTAAGTGAAAACATATAGTTTCAACTTTTGTATCACCTATCGCTTTTTAATCGCCCGATGATTCATGTCGGCCTTCAAAATAGCATATGCTTTCTCTTCGTCATGTTAATGATGACGAATTTGATGCTATTTATGTGCCTTGTTAAAAAATGTAAAACTTTCTTCTGATAAGAGGAATTTAGTCATCGCTATGTATCACTCACTAGATAATCCTTTGTTGTTAAATAGGATATGTGCCTAACTGAATTAAACGGTCAACTTTCAGCTGATTAGTTCATAGCTTGAACATTCCTGGGTTTAGTTTGGCCTAGATATTATAATCATAAGTCATCATCTATCAAATGATGCGCATAGTCTAGTTCGTGAACTTGTCCAAGGTCTTTGATTTGACTTTACAGCTGACTCCTAGACCAATGAGATCATTGGTTTGAAAAATCCGATATTTTAAAAATGTATTTGAATTCCCTTTTGCTTGTTTTTGTTTGTTTCTCGATAAAATTCATTGTTTTTTTGAAAATCCCTCTTTTACCGTTATTTGTCAACCCTTCCTCGGTCTTATTGCATCTTCTTTTTCTTACCTTCACTATCCAGTATTGCGTAGTTTTACTATTTGTTTCCTAAGACTCCATCTACCACGTTCAATGTGGAACATTTGTTTGTTTTTACCTATCCTTGTTATCATAAATCGCTCAAATTGTGTGCAAAACCTTATCATCCTATCGACAAGTCGTCATGATTGGTGTTTGTTTAATATATATATATTTTTTAAAAGTTATGTATTTTGGAGTAAAGCCTGATGTGTGAGTGAGGTCTTCTTGTAAACAGTTTTGTTCGCTTACATGTGTTGTTCTGAATTTTACCAATGGAAGTGTCTTTATAATATTCATCAAATGTCAAGTGGTACAGCACCTTCTGTGTAACACTTTTACTGATGTGCTTAATTTTTCCTTCCTCACTTTTTATTTTAGACCCAGATAAATTCGTGTTTTTACTGTGTACCAAGGCTGGTGGTTTAGGAATTAATCTGACTGCTGCTGATGTAGTTATTATTTACGATTCGGATTGGAATCCACAAAACGATCTTCAAGCTCAAGCACGTTGTCATCGTATTGGACAACAAAAAATGGTGAAAGTTTATCGTTTAATTACTCGTAACACATATGAACGTGAGATGTTCGATAGGGCATCGCTTAAATTAGGCCTAGACAGAGCAGTTCTCCAGTCTATGGGAAGCAAAGAAGCTAGACAGGTAGGTGTAACACTTTTACTAATATTTTCTTTGTTGTGTAAACTTGTGTCTTTTTACTACATTATTATTATTATATTATTATTGTTTCCTTTAATTCCTAGAGGAACATAGGGCTTCAGCCGTGCGTCTCCATTGCGTTCGGTTCTCTGCTAGAGTCTTTACCTGGCTCCAAGTCTGCCCACACGTTTTCATCTCCTCTTCACATGACCTCCTCCAAGTCACCCTTGCACTGACGACCAACTCGCCGCTTCCCTTTCGGCTTCCACTCGAGCAATGGCTTGTCTAGTGATGTCACTTGATGGCTTGTTTCCTCAGAGTATGGCCAATCCATCTCCACTTCTTCCTGCCTATTTGTTTCACAATCGGTTCCTGCTGTGTTGGTTCGCTCCCAGAGATCCCTGTTGCTGATCTTTTCTGGCCAGCCATCTGATCTTGAGTATTGAGCGAAGACAACTGTTAATGAAGGTCTGTAGTTTGTTTGAGATGCTCTTTATGACGCGCAGGCCAAGTCTCTGATCCGTATAGTGAGTAGCACTGACTTCACATTGGAGTTGAAAATCCGGATCTTATTTTTGATGCTGAGTGCTGTTGACCTCCAAACAGACTTGAGAGTAGTGAAAGCTACATTAGTGACACTATTTACATCTTTGAACACGTATATAAACTACTTAAAACCGCTACCTTTGTTATACTTACTCTTTTTTTTTACTGTTATATCGTATTCTTTTGCTGCAGATATTATTATTAGGTTTCATCATAATGTTGGTATAATGTAGCATCATACCTCAACGAATTGATGAGAATGGAATAAATTACGTTCCTTGAATGATTCACTTTATAATTCATAAATAAATTTTAACGACTGCACACTTCAACTCATGTTGAAGATTCTCAGACTCACGAGTCAATAACTATCGTATTACTACTGATTTCATAGTTGTATAAAATCTCGCCTGTAAATTATTCGACTAACTGACAACGCGAAACTATGCACTTAAGCTGCACACTTAAGAAAAAAAAACACTCACAAAAGTAGAAAAAGTTCAATAAAACTACCAAAGATGTGTTAAATGATAAAATAATTACATGAATGGTTTTAGTGATAAGAAATGAATACGTCTGCGCAAACAATTTTGATCCATGTCATCAACTGTTGACATTTAGCATACTGGAAACTCCAACTGAAGTTTCTACACCTCTCTGCATATCTCAGTGAATGGTGCCGTATTCTGAGCAACCTTAACTCTTTCGCAACCTAGTCTTCCGATAGCTAACATTTCTGTTGAGGGGTAGAAATGTGACCAATACACCTTCGTTCGGACCTGAAGCTGATGTGGTTTTCTCGAGTTAACTTCTAATAATGAGTACCACATAATCTTCATACGACTGTGGAACCTAGATTCTTTGATATCATGTTGTTCATGCGGGATCCCCTTAGGTTATCACAGTAAGATTTATGTTTTATGTTCTTATAGAATGGAATAACACCATTCCAATGGAACAATGCCAGATTCTCACACATCACCCAGTACTTTTGTTTATCTAGCCACTGTTTTATCCTCAATAACCTCTGAAGTAAGACTATGAAGTCCTGCTCTGCTTTGCCTCGTTTCAAATTAGAAAGCTTCCTCATTGGTTGAACATAGTAATCAGTATATTTTTACATATGTCCTTGTGTTTCTGCGAAAGATTTTTGGTTTTCTTTGTCTGCAAAAAATTCATGAGGTCTTACTGCACGTTGTGAGACCAATATGAGATCATTTTTCAGTGAGTAATGAAATCCTGGGACACTAGCTACCATGGCATTGGCATATGTTATACATAGTAATCCAGCAGCTTCCACACCTTTCAATTTGTCAGAATTACGTTCTACATTGTGTACTACAAAAGGTAGAACACTTTCATAGATACTGTTAAGGAGGTTGTTTGTTTGTTATCTCCTTATGCTGTTACATTATCTCTTATGGTACATTTTGGGATCTCCATGTATTCCAACAACAAGAATAATGATTTTCTGAAATGATAATTTTCTGTAATATTGCTTCCTCTTGCATTCCTTGCATTATCTGTCTAGGCACAAATGTCTAAAAAGGAAATTGAAGATCTCTTGAAGAAAGGTGCCTATGGAGCTTTGATGGATGATGATAAAGCTGGTGAAGATTTTTGTGAAGAAGATATTGATCAAATACTTCAATCCAGAGCTCGTATTGTGCAGCTGGAGCAGGGGAAAGAAAATTCCACATTCTCAAAAGTAAATTCCTCTTTGCAGTGACTATATAGTTTTATGTTTTGGGTTTTGCATTGTGCGGTTCGATAGCACAATCTTTGACCTTAATTTTATTGCAATATTGCATCATACAAACATCTCTACTAGTTTATAATTTCAGCCATTCTTGTTATTTAATGTGTGACACTGTACTTCTGCAATGTGTGCCATGCTGTTTCAGGCACAGGACAATGTTATATAAGTTTTGCGTCACATAAAAATTCAATCATCCCCCTTTTTGTCCCACCAATGTGCACAGTGACTGGAACGACTTTATTGGAAGTTCAACAAGCATTCGTTATCACATCAATTACCTACTATCCAGTGGAATTGTTCGTAACCTTCAACGAGTCGTTCCAGTCTCATGGGCTTTTTCCACGGATTATATAGCGTACTTCAAAACATCATTGATGGTTTTATTGACGTAGCAAAAGCTCAGCATGAAAAGTGGACGTTTTACCAAGCTAACAAGTATTTCACCACCTATCGTTATCATTAATTTCAATGGAATTATCGTAGGAATAATTCAAGCCTTTGGCGTATAGTATTAGTTGCGATTTGAACATTGATTGTTTGCAATTGTGTCGCGTTTGCCAAGTCACCTCAACAATCTTCTTATCAGTTGTTTCGAACTGGTTTCTTCATGATGAAAACTGTCAATAGAAAATCTAGTAGTGCATTGAAGTGCACGTCATAACGATTGTGTGTGGACTGGACTACTAAAAATATCCAGTTGCGTTGTACACCAAATACATGCAGTCAGTTTTCCTAAATATTTGTCTGGCATTTTTCATACTAAAAATATTAATGTAAAAACGCACCCTTATTTTCCCCTTTGTTCAGTTTATTCTTCATTGATTTCCATTTCTTTTCCAATTTTCTCAGGCGACTTTTTCAATGTCTGATAACAGAAGTGATATCGCATTGGATGATCCTAATTTCTGGCAAAAATGGGCTAAAAAGGCTGGCGTTGATGAGACAGCATTAGCTATGAAGGTAAGTGAAATTTATTATGTATTTTGTAATGGATGCAATGTAATTACCCAATATTATTATACATATAACACAGCTTGTGAGTAAGTTGTATTTCAGAGTTAAAATAGTTTCTTAAACAATGCACTTGTATGTGTGTTTACTATTTCTATTCATCATCTCCAGGATCTCATAGTACAAACTCCTCGTCAACGTCGCCAAACCACTCGTTATTCATCGATTATGGTCAGTGAACCGCCTAACATCCCAAGCCCAGCTAGCTTTGACATGTCTGATTTTGATGATAATGCGAACTCAAATAGCTCTGGTGATGAGACGGTCATTCACTCCTCATCTGGACGAGGTCGTTCCCGTCGTAATCGAAAAAGTTTTCGCCACTCACGAAAACAACAAAATACTCCAGTTTTAAAGCAAGAGAAGTCGTCTACGATAAAAGAGTGTGATACAAGCGCCGCAAATGAACCAAATTTAATTGAACCGCTTGATCGTGCTGATCTGTTTCGAGTTGAGCGATGTTTGCTGACTTGGTCTTGGGGTCAATGGGAACAAGCTGTCGCAGGCGTTTCTTTTAAACGAAGTATGCAGCCGTCGGAACTAGCATATTTTTCATGTGCATTGCTAGACTACACTCTACATTGTCTACCATCAAATTCAGATGTCCGCGCACGTGCTATATGCGAAACTCTTGCCCGTCCGGGTACCTGGAAACTTGATATCCACCAGGTAAATATTGCTGTGTCTGAAGCGACTTCTAAAATTAAATGTTTACCACCGACTACTGCACTAAACATAGAATGTGAAAACTTTGATGGTCCAATATCAACTGTAGCTCAAAATATTGATGATGACTTATCCGAAGGGAAAAAGCAAACTGATCTTGCCTTGCCGCCTTCAGAGATAGTCAGCGACATCAAACGTGGTTTAGACTCTCCTGTTCTTAGTGAATACAATGCAACTGGTAGTCCTGCAGCGGATGACATTGCTTTGACTGATCCTGCAGCTAGTTTAGCGGAAAAGTCGACACCAGATGATCCAGATCAATTAGATGACAAAGTTGAAATCACACTGCCTATTCACTCAGAATCGTGTGAACTTGTTGGTAAAAGTGAACTTCCCGATAAGGATGAAGATGAAATCGATGAAGAGAGTCATATCAAAGTAGAAGGAACTCAGATATCTCCAAGGCGTAAGTTTAGTTAATATAATAAACATTGAATTGAAATATTTTTATTCACTTTCATTTTTTTAATTTCTGTAATAAAGTCACAGTTTTCATTGTTTTATATTTTGAAATATCTGTTAAGGTCAAAGGTAAAAATTACTCATGAATTTTGTGTACATTGCCTTTCTCATATATCACCATTATTGTCAACATCAAATATAACTGAAAGTGGTACATATTCTTCTAGTTTAAAAAATAATAATAATGAATTATTTTTTTAAAGTTGCAGCATTCAAACCGGAACTTCTCCTACCATCTGAAAGCTTCAAAAAACACGTTCAAAGAGCGGGATCTAGACTTTTAAATCGGGTTGCTCTTTTATTCTTTCTGCAATGTGATATCATCGGAATCAAAGCTGCTGAAGATTTGGTAGCATCTCGTTTAAGCCATACTGATTTCATTGAATTGGCTTCAAGCTTGCCTCCATTAGAAGGTAAGATATTGACTATTTATCTTATTGTTATCATTAGTAATAATCATTATTATCACCTTTAATGAAACACTATAAATCTCATTAACTTTCACTCTGAACCCATTAACGTTAATTCATGTTATATATTTCATTCGATCCTTTTGGGTCCTGACTGACTGGTTACAATGTAGAACTTTTCATCGATGTGCAGCAGTTCGAGTCGCTCCTTGTAGCATACAAAACAAGCAAAGGGAAGGAGTAAAGAAACATTCAAAAGAGAGATAATAAACAAAAAATTGAGGCAAAAAGAATAGTAATATAGATGAACAATAGATTTTTATTGGATATTATAAATCGTAAAGAGCTAATTCCATATCAGCCAAATCACCGACTGTCTCCAGCTTTCGCTGGTTCTTACTATCCGGAGGACCCCAGCCAGGAAGTGACCGGCTTAAACTAACTGTTGTGGATTTCTTTGACTGTTGAGGCCATGTTTTGTTTTGACCATCACTGATGGGTCCTGGGTTCAGGTTCTGCTCCTTCTACTTCAGCCTGAACGACTTAGGTAGTATCACCATCTTCACATGATTTGGCACCTTCTCTGTCCCAGGTAACTGAAATTCAGATATATATGCTAGTCAAGTGCCTGATTCGAAAAAATCAAAAACATCTATGGTGATTTGGCATCTGTTGTGACACTCTAACGGTACGTGGGATTCTATCATTTATGTAGCTCAGCAGCATGAGATACTGTCTATAAATGAATTGATTGACAAGTGTGGGTTAGTTTTTTTGTTTTTTATATCATCGAGCAATAAGAATACAATTTGGTGTTGTAGTTTAGTTAATTAAACGCTTAACTTTCAAGAGTGTGAACCCCCTTACTTACCTTTACCTACCTTTGTTTCGATAGTATCATTAGGCGTCACACATTAAGTGTATTGTAAGCTACATTTCCAGAAGAGGAAATCATCGAAAAGGATATTCTTTGTTCAATTATTTCGTTATACCAAGCGAGATAATTACGAAGAAATTAAGAAAATCAGTTCAAAGAACTTTTAATACTGCCGAACTACAGGTATTATTCTCTACACGACCGATCGTGCAACCTCGACTGAAAGATGAAGTACCTAGACTAGCCACTTCAAATTGTATCTATCAATTCAACTGCGCTTGTGGAGCGAGTTATATTGGCCGTTGCTCTAGGAACTTGATTTTTCGTGCTCTAGAACATATCCCACTATGGCTAAGTAAAGGTGTAGTTAAAACTATTAACAGCTCGATATTAGACCATCTGGTACAAACCGGTCACAAAGCCAGCGTAGGAGAATCCTTCTCTATAATATACCGGGTGCCTAACAAATTACTAAAATCGTCGAAACACCGCTTGCTCCAAACAACAGAAGCTATCGCAATTCGCCTCAAACAACCAGTGATTTATGTGCAAAAGAAGCAAGGCCAGCCATTACTACTGCCCTAGACTTCAGTGGAGACTATAAATTCATGAATTTGTACTATTACCTTTCCTAATTCTTCTGACATTCTGTTTATTTTATGTTGATGCTGTTCAGCTGTAATTTATCAATATTATTTAATTTAATGTTATTTAAACAACATTAATGTCGTTCATAAGACTAATTCATTCATTCATTATAATGTATATATAATTGTAGAACCTGATGATGAATTTATCGAAAAGAGTACTCTTTGTTCCGTGTCCATTCTTTTTTATGTTTATTTTATATTTGTTATTCAGTCTATGCAAATCGTGTGTAATGTGTTTTTTTCCTGCTTATCCTATATCCACTTAGCTCTTGATTCAGATTTGCCTGCTCCATGGTGGGATTCCTGTTGTGACAAGTGTTTGTTACTGGGAATTATGAAACATGGATGGGAAAAGTATACAGCAATGCGATTAGATCCAAAGCTGTGTTTCCGCTCTCGAGCTATTGAGATAGTTCAATCTCAGGCTTCAGCTGTACAGGACGGCTTGAATGAGTAAGCTTTTCAAATATTCTACATTGTATATAATCTTTTACATACTTGTGTTTATTTAAGCAGATTCAATCAGTGGTACAGTTAAACTTCACGCAGTAGTTGTGACTTTATCCATATGTTAATGTGTATAATATGAGTGCACCGTATTCAGCCTAGTTTTCGTTTGCCGTAAACTACTTTCTGAAATATATATATTATCTACACTCCAGAGAGAAGCTTTATTATGACTAACTACAATATTTCTGTACACTAACTACTATGAATTATTTCGAATGGTTTCACAGAAAATTTCCAATTATTGATTCCCATCATACCGGTGTCATGAGACAGGCAAATCTTCACCTAGTTAAGTGTTTCAGAAGTAAAAACCATAGTTCATATATTGACGCTTTTAGTTTTAGTTTCACCACGTTTAACTCTTTTCCAATCTAATTCTACTTCACGTAACACTTCTATCTCATGAGTGTGTTGGTTAGGCCATCTTAATCAATTATGATTAAAGCTGTTGTTTGCCTTCCTTACCACCCAACACTACGCGTAAGCTTGTTATTAATGGTGCTCTAGTTGACGCAAACAAACCTGTAATCTATTTTTATAAGCGGTCATCGTCGGCTGGCATAAAGTAGGACAGAATGAGTAGCCACACAATGCACTCATTCTTTGTTAGATAATCAAGTGTTACGCCTGCACCCACAATACCAAACGAACTTTTTGTACCTGTGATATAACTTCGTCGGTGACTAGCACTTTAAGGCTAATCTAACTTAACAAATAAGTTAGTTGGCCAATACAGTGAGTCCATTTACTTCTCTATTCTTAAACTAGACGTTGGTGTTGAGTACGAATCTCCAGTGGGTACGGGATTCAAGGGTACGTATTTCTGCACGGAAAGTATTACCAGCTCTTACACGCATAAATGTAGTCCATAGCCTGGTACATGAAAAAGTCACTAAGTTCCTAACAAAGTGTTATGATCATAAAATGTCGCACTTAAATAGATTGTCTTTAATTATGAACTTGCTTTATCTGTTACTTTTCACCTGTCATTATTATAGTAATTCTAAAGTAACTAAAGAAGCAGATGACAACTCAGATTGTAATCAGGAAACTAAAGTAGACTGCAATGGAGTACAAGATTCAGCTGAATGCGAGTCAGCAGACAATGCTCATTCCATCTTGAAACCAGCTCCAGTTCCTCTTGAAAGTCTTTCACCGAATGCTGAAACAGCCATTAATGAAGCAGATAGTGTAACTATGGACAATGATAACTTATCGTGTTCATCGAACAAAGTTTGTGAATCTCTCAAAAAGGATTTGTCGTCTACTCCTAATGATGACGAAAGCCAATTTTCAGATGATGTCCTGCTTAGTCTTCCTTTTCCACAAGTTGCAGACTTAAACTCTCGAACTAGGAAATTAGTCGGGTTTTTCCAACGTGTCAAAAGTCAACTTGAAACTGATTCTTCACGAGTAAGTGTAGGATTTTTTAAAAAAATTTGTTGTTTCAAAGTAAAAATAATATTTTAAATATGCGATTATTATTATTATTGTTTCCTTTAATTCCTAGAGGAACATAGGGCTTCAGCCGTGCGTCTCCATTGCGTTCGGTTCTCTGCTAGAGTCTTCACCTGGCTCCAAGTCTGCCCACACGTTTGCATCTCCTCTTCACATGACCTCCTCCAAGTCACCCTTGCACTGACGACCAACTCGCCGCTTCCCTTTCGGGTTCCACTCGAAGGCTTGTCTAGTGATGTCACTTGATGGTTTCCTCAGAGTATGGCCAATCCATCTCCATTTCTTCCTGCCTATTTGTTTCACAATCGGTTCCTGCTGTGTTGGTTCGCTCCCAGAGATCCCTGTTGATCTTTTCTGGCTGGCCATCTGATCTTGAGTATTGAGCGAAGACAACTGTTAATGAAGGTCTGTAGTTTGTTTGAGATGCTCTTCATGACGCGCAGTGCAAGTCTCTGATCCGTATAGTAGCACTGACTTCACATTGGAGTTGAAAATCCGGACCTTATTTTTCATGCTGAGTGCTGTTGACCTCCACACAGACTTGAGAGTAGTGAAAGCTTGTCTTGCTTTGATATCCTCGTCAGTTCCGCCTATAGTTGAAACGATGCTTCCCAGGTAGGTAAAAGAGGTTGTTTCTTTCAGGTTCCTCCCATTTATGCTGATCGTTGGCTGTTGTTGTTGTTCTTGTCCAGGAATCTTCATCACCTCTGTTTTCTCTATGTTCACCTGAAGTCCTATCTTTGATGCTTCTTCTGCCAACTAGGTTTTTAAATGGTTTTTATAAGTACCAAGTATCATATCGATATATATATATATACTTGTTAAATCTCCGAAATATTTGAACATTATTGTTTCTTTACCTAGTTCAATATGCGTTTTGTTTTTGCATATTTTTTCAGCATTTGCCTAAAATAGAAGTTGAGGAGTCTGTAGTATGCCCTCCTGTTGTACGAGTGACAGAGGCAAAAGTATTGTAAGTAAATATCGCTTGTGATTTGCTTTACACTTCTTTTTTTACCGTAATCTATAACTTAATTTCCTGTTGTTATTGTGTTTTTTTCATAAGTCACTGTTCTGACATATATAACCCAGGTTTTTATGTCATGAAAACTTCTTATCAGAGTGTTCTATCGTATGATTTCTCATGCATGAGATTGTTTATATTATACGTACGTCCTTCACGATTCAAACTTAGAAACTATTCCGCTAGAAGTCGAGTGCATCCGCCAATGAGCCACATCTACATATTTATAAATAACTTGGAATTGAATTCTCATGCGGATTTTGAACCTAGTTTTCTAAAGCTGATGAACAGATCCATACTAGTTGTGTTACTGTTTTCTTCTTATTCACGGGGAAAATTGCCGAAAGTATTTCTTCTATTAAACACTTATCTAAATTAGTGATCAGAATTTGCAATCAGATGTCCTTCTTTACTTTATTACCTAATATTGTGTTGAGGATAATAATTTTTTTTCAACCTTCAGCGAATATGGGTTCGTCTTGCCTCACACATACACAGATACACTACTCTGCTGTTTACCCCCACCTTAGACAATAAGTTTACACTGATGGAAGGTGTTAACACAATCGTGTGTGTACGTCAGGATATATTTCATAATAATAATAATTATTATAATATTATTGTTCTCTTGGGTTCCTAGTGGAACATAGGGCTTCAACTGCACGCCTCCACTTGCTTCTGTCTTCTGCTGTACTTTTCACTTGCATCCATGTTAGTCCATACTGTTTCAACTCCTCTTCACACGATCTCCTCCATATCACCCTTGGATGTCCCACTCGCCGCTTCCCTTTCGGGTTCCACTCGAGCGATGGCCTGACGCGCGATGTCACCCAACGGCCTCCTCAGCGAGTGTCCAATCCATCTCCAATTTCTCCTGCATATTTGTTGAGCGATTGGTTCTTGTTTCGTTTGTCCCCATAGTTTTTTTTATAATTGAGTGCCGAGTATTACTGTATTATTTAATTAATAGTTTAACACATGATGAGATATTATTTGAAGAGTAACAGTTGTGTTTATGCCTTATGCTTGTTTTATGTATCAACAAGCATGGAACGCAACATTGGTAAGAATGATGTTTCACTATATACATATATGTACATATATAGATATGCCTTGGTTCAGTGAATAGTTATGACTAGATCTTCACAGTCATGTTATTTCTCTAAATATCTTTATTCATAATACTTTATTACATTGTATAGGAAATGGACACGTCGAGAGGAGGCTGATTTCTATCGCGTTGTATCAAGCTTCGGTGTGGAATTCGATGAAATACCATCTGATACTTCTGCTCATGCTATTGCCAATGAAGACAATGATGCTGTTGAAGGGAAAACGGAAGAAAACGACAAAGAGGAAAAAGAAGAAGAAGACGAAAAAGGGGAGAAAGACAAGTGTAAATCAGAACATCAGAATGCCGATGTTATGGCAAAGCCGTGTAAACCACTACCAAGAATATACAGGTGGACTAATTTTAGACAGCTGGCTAACTTGAGTCGTAAATCGGATCAAGCACTCGTTGAATACTTTCATTCTTTTTATCGAATGTGTCAACGTGTCTGTAAAAAAGAGCTCACCGGTAAGTTTTTTATCTGAATAAGAAAAATATATAATAATAGGACAAGTTATACATGCTTGTAAGCTCATTATCTCCCTATATACATGTATATACTTTTGACGTTCGCATTTTTTATAATATCAGATAGCAGTTTATGAGCTCGTTAGACATTTGTATTACTAATTCTAGCTACCTTATCACTTAGCACGAATATTTGACTCTATTGGAGAGTTGATGAATATAATATATTAACAGTGTGTCGAGCTTTTTCTGTGTATGTCATTTGTAATTACACTTCATTGTTTAATGTATACAAAGTTTAGTTATATACACACTTTTCTTTTGATAAAACTGTCGTTTTTTGTTTAGTTGTTGTTAGATTTCCGACAAGCGATAATTGCACAACAATATTATTTCCAACTAGCATTCTTCATATACCCAACCCAATGAATGCTGCCAATTATTAAAGATTGCCTTACTATATAATTTGTCTTAACTATCTAATGGGTGGTTTCATGTAGTACTTGAGTTCATCCTTTCAAGGTTGTCTTCTTTTCAACAAAATATTTATTTTATGTTCACAATTGTTGTCGTTGTTGTTATTGTTTGGGATTTTCGTTTTATTCTTTAGATATGAATAGTTCATATACAAAATATACATCAAATTCTTGTTTAAATTTCTTTTTCAATATCCTATATAGAATTTGCTGAACCTGCTTCTACAATTGCAACAACCACTACTTCAGGATCAAGTGATTTAGGCTGTGAAATTATAATTGATCCTATCTCTGAGGAACGTGCTAGTCGTTGTCTTTCACGTATTGATCTGTTGGTTCGTATCCGCAATCATATTCTAAAGCATCCGCAATTAGAAGAACGAATTAAATTATGTCAGCCCAGTTCAGATCTACCGGGTTGGTGGATACCTGGGAAACATGATAAAGAATTATTATTTGCTGCTGCAAAGTAAGTTTAAAAACCCTTAAAGGAAAGATGAATCAAACACAGTCTGTCAATGTAGCATTAAAAACACAAATAAATGTGTAGTACATTAGGCTTTGTAATATTGTTAGTCTAATCAGTTAGGTTAAAAATGTTAGAAATGACTACTATCTATCATAACAACAATCTCTTAAAAATTGTTTTCGGTTTATCCAATAAAACTCTGTTGTTTTTCCGTATTACCATTTCTTTTTTGTTCTCACCTCTACTCACTCTCTGTCTTTTGAACCTCTCTTTACACTCTTTGCTTGCTTTGTGTGCTACATGGAGGGAGTGTGGCAACCCAAACTGTTGCACATCGGTGAAAAGTTCTAGGTTGAAACCAGTCTAGAGGAAGTTTTGAGTAGTAGTTGTTGTTGTTATTGTAGTGGTGTAACAACAAAACACGGTCTGTTTCCCATACGTTGCCTTTTTTGTCCGCTGTTTCACAAGTGTCTTTCATCACTTCTCTTCGCTATTCAACACATTCTTGCAGATAACCTCATACACAATATAGTACTTACAAAGTCTTGTTAGTACCACCTGCGACAGTATTAGTTAATGTAGAATTGACTATTCTCATGAAATCTAAAATCATCTCCACTAGCATTAAACATCATTTATTTTTATTCCCTTTTTCGTTTTTCTTAACAATAAAAACTCATATATTCCTATACCGTGACACTTTTTTGTTAACAACCTTTTGATCTTCTTCAATTTTACCTGCTTTCGAAACTGCTCATTTCGAAAGATAACCAATTCCTTTTTGAACTCGTGAAAGCCTATCTGAAAGTCAGTCAATCACTAAATAATGTTACTGGTTTTGTAGAAAAAGAAATAAACTTGAAGGGTCTCTGTTGATAATTTCTTTTTGTTTTCCTTCATGTTCCGCAGTGGAACATAGGGCTTCAAGCTAGAGGCTTAAAGTTTCTGTAGCAGTGTTTATTTTACAGGATGGGGTTGCTAGCCTCATGCCCAACCTTTCCTCTTCACCAGCATTATTTCTGAATTAGCGAGGTAAAGGAGTGCGTCGGCTGGGGATCGAACCCCGGACCAAGTACATGGTCGGCGAGAGTCCTAACGGCTATGCCACCGACGCACTCTGTTGGTAATATGAAGCTATAAGTCAACTAAATTCCATGCGGCTGATTCTGTTCACAACCTCATTTTTGCCCACCTATTTATTATTATAAATTCAACTGAATCGCGGAATGATCATTTTTGTTTTCAGTGAAAATGCTACCTTATGATTCTCCAGGAGTAAGTAGTAGTAGTAGTAGTGATAATACAGAAAGAATCAGGTTTTCACAATAACTACGAACATTCTATGTTTTTTCGATTGTGTTTCTTATACCTCCAAATTTTTGCATTCTACCCTCATATTTCTATAATATTTTGAAGTTTATAATAAATATCCAATCACATGACAGTTTTGGTAACAATATCGAACTGCATTGTTTGATTTTCTAATATATATATGCATTATTATTTGTCAACAGTCGAAATCGTCATTTTTTGTTGTTGTTGTTGATGTGTTGTTTGTTATCTAATTTCTATTGATATTCTCTCCAAATAGGCGTTGTGTTCTGTCGACTAGTTCAACCATGAATAGCAGTATTATATATTCTGTTATTCTTGCTTCCCTTGTTGTTGCTGCTTTTTTATTCAAATTTTTTTTTAATAAAACAGGAACACGTATTAGTATTTGTTCATAAGTGTGTCATTTTTCTTTGTTTATTTTCTGCAACATTCTATTTGTCAGATCGATAATTTAATGCATGCCTGCTGACTATAAAGTAATAATAATAATATTATCTTTCATTTTGAATTGATAAATAAAACTAAGTGGGAAAGATAATCCCGATGATGTTAGTTAGTTAGTTAAGTCTGATTGACTAGCCTTCATTCTTCTGAGTCCTGTGTTGTTCGCTTGTGTAGGTGAACTGTGAAGCCTGGCTTCTTAAAATAATCTCAAATTTATCAGCATAAGAGAAATTTATTGGAAATGAACTGAAACAGTTAGCTTACTTTTGTTTTGTTTCGTTTCTTTTTTTTATTTCGTAACTTGTATTTGAAAGCGTTAATTTTTTTTGCTACTTTTTGTGTTTTATCTAATCTTCCTTAGGCATGGATTAGCTCGTACTGATCTTAATATTCTTCAAGATTCAGATTCCAGCTTCTCACGGATTGTACAACTGATTCGTGATAAGTTAACTCATGATCCAGTTGTTACAGACTATCCTGGAGATTTAATTGCTAACCAGGTGACTAGAACGGGCATTGCAGCTGCTGCAGCTTCAGCAGCTCGAGCAGCTGCTTTTCAATTAATGAATGAAGGGAATTCTTCTCCGACTGATGCATCATCAGCATCAACAACATTATCTGATGCAAATGTAAATAAAACAGATTTAACAGACAAATTGAAAGCCACTGATAAGTCTGGTATTCAACCCACTATAGATTCATCTACTCTTTGTGAATCTATCAGTGTTGAAGAAGAGAAGAAACCAGATTCTGAGGCTCCTGAATTTGCTGTTTTAAATGATGCAGTAGCTACTATTCCATCTACGGTTGTGAATACTGAAAGTGGTGATACACCTTTGGACACTGATAATATTGTATTAGAAAAAAGTGATGTTAAAGTCACTGGCAAAGAAGACCAGTCAGGTATACATAATTCTTTGTTTTTCTATACAAAAGTGAACTTTGTTCAATGTGTGTATGTGTGTATTCATACTGTATGCATGATTAGTTGTATGATAAGACATTTATTCCTCTACAAATGGTGTTTGTAATTGCAGTGATTTGAATGAAGTAACTATAGCATAGCCGTCTTTCTAATTCATATTTATCCCTACATATCCAGTTTAATTACTTGATTCTTACGTTACTGCATATCTACTTATAACATACTATTTTCCTATGATTATTATTTAAACTATAAGTACAAGAAATAAACTGAAGTACAGTTACATGTTAGCAGTCGATCAGTAGAACTAGATTTCTTCATTGCTGACAATCTCTAACTTCGCGTATCTGTCATCTTGAAGCAGCTTCTGTTCCATCAGTCATCTAAGTTAGCACCATTATATCTTCAAGAATGCTAACCAACAGACGTTTTATGTCTTCTTATATATATATATATATATATATATATATATATATATATAATATTTGGTTCTGTTCTCTGATTTACTTGTGAAGCTGTAATTGCCTTTCTAGACATCTTCAGCATATACTTCGAAATGAAGTGAACCTTTATTGAATTCGCAATGCATGACATACCATTCATCTAAGAGCTGCGAACAGTTCATTGTTGAACACTGGATAACAGTGATGCTATATCGCCAATCAACCTTGAATTAGTGACTGGATCATAACATGCCTGACTTGTAACCAGACGGTTGTTGTTTCTGGTTATTTCTGTGATTGGTTTTCATTTTTGGCAATATCTGTTGTCAAATGCCCACTCATTTACTAACAAATATAAACTGGGCAATTATTATTAATTTCTCCGTACTTGTTATACATGAGGTAAATATTTACTACTAACACACTCAGGAATGAGATAGCTACCTCTGTAATGCTGTGCTGTGCCGTGCCTTAGTAAACTTTAGGCAGTTAATCAGATTAGCTGTCCTTATAATCACTAATAGCTTTAAAAAAAACCTCTTGTTTACTGATTAATTTTTTCATCGTTTTAGAAGCTTCTCTTGTTGGTGGTTTGAGTGGTACGGATGTCAATAAAGTTGGACAAGAATCGGCTGCAGCTGAATGGTCCATAAAATTCGCTACTAACCTGGCTATTTCATGGCCTAAAGACAGAACTGTTCAGCATCGTTTGGAGCTCATTTGTCAAACAATAGAAGTAAGAAGTGTTCTTAACATGCTGGCGAATGATCATAAACTTCAGCTTCGGTTGTTTTTTCCTTGCCATGTTATTTATTATTATTATTACGTCGCTCTATGGAATTGTAGAGAATAGTTGTTTCTGTGGTTACTAAAGTCCACATTAAATTGTTTTCTTAAAATGAAAACTCTCGCTGACCTTCTCATGACATTCTGGAAATAGTTGTTAGTATCCTTGGTAATGTTTTCTAGTTGTAGTTCGTGAAAAATAGACATTCAACTAGCCCTACGTTATTTACATTCCTCCTCTGTGTATGCAAATATACTGTCCACTTGTTGACGAATGGTGTGTCTACACACCTTTTTTTATTTCTTCACTTTCCCAGTGGAACATAGGGCTTCAAGCTAGAGGCTTGAAGTTTCTGTAGCAGTGGTAATTATTTTTTTACAGGATGGGGTTACTAGCCTCATGCCCAACCTTCCCTCTTTACCAGTCTTATTACTGGTTTAGGGAGGTAAAGGAGTGCATCGGCCGGGGATCGAGCCCCGGACCATGTGCATGGTCGGCGAGCATCCTAACCGCTGTGCCACCGACGCACACACCTTCGGAACAGTTTTTCAGGTGTCTACGAAAGTATGTAAGTAATTCTAACAGATTATGTCAACCAGATGATTAAGAGTGTCAATTGTGGCTCACTGACCTGGAAAACTCTACTTGAAAACACTTCGTTGTAGATTCCATCTTACCCCCGTCTTCTAAATCTTAGCAGCCAAATAGTATCATAATACCGTACGACTCATTGCTACGCGTGTATGTACATATGCACACTGTCGATAAACAGCGGCCGCGGATGATTATGTACCTTTCGAATAACTCGTATGTAATTATGCAATAAGTAATAATGTTTTGACGGGCCGTTAAAACTGTTTCCGCTGTAGTTCGATGACATCAATGATATTTTTGTGGATACGCCAACAGGGTAACAGTACGGCTCTTCGAGATACAGTGATGATAAGCACTTTTATATGCAACCAATGTATTCTTTGATTATCACTGTACAGAAACTGATTTCAAATGTAGCTGATGCATATACGTGTTTTAGTGGCCAAGTTAAACTTTAAGCACCAGTAAATATCAGCTGAGTGCGACCGCACCAATGACCTTGAAACTCTGGGTAGGCAAGTTTGTCAAACCTGGTAAATAATACTGTAATCATGAATATGCATAATGAGGTTTTGGGTTATTAAGTGGAACATGTGGAAAGTCTCAGGTTAGGTTTAGACAAGATTAAGGTTTAGTCCAAGAACAGTTTAGGGTTAGGTTAACACCACGAAGGCGATATTCGAGTTAGTCCTAGTTAAATTAAGGTTAACTTCGGGATATTTTGACGGTAGGGTTAGGTTAAGGAAAGATTATTGATATATTTAGGTTTAGAAGAGTAGATAATGCAGTTAAACTACTCTGTTGATACAAAAAAGTCTCTTTCTTTTGATTAGTAGTGTAAATTATTTACTTTAATTTTTACTTTACTTGCATCACAGAATAATGAATGGCCAAATCCTCGTCGTTTCATTACTCCAATCACTACTGCAATTCCTGTTTCATCGTCAATGATAGGCTCTACGCGTGCACAAATTGAAACAAAAGTTTCTTGTTTAAGTGATACCCTCCCTCAAAATTTCCAAAGTTTACCGTTGCCGCGAGATGCTTACTCATTGTCGTCGAATAATTCTAGAAGAATTCCATTGAACACTGCTCATATTCCCTTATCCCGTAAACAATATGGTCTACCTGTCTATTCCTCAGAGATGGCATCTAATCCACTGTCAGTTGAGTCAACATGTGATGTACAATCTTCCAGTTTAACACAGCTATCATCTCTTTCAAATAATGAGTTAGATGATTCACTACAATTTGATTTCTCTCTACCTGGAGGACATATTAACTCAGTACAGTGTAAGCCATCTTTACAAGCCTACGATTCTGAGGCTCAATTTTCAACTGCCACAAATATAGATTCCAGTGAATGCATTTCTACGTCTGTCAACATTCCATTAGATCTAAAAGACAATCAATTACCTTTTCCATCTAATCCTACCAATGAGATTTCTCTTACCGATCGAAGTCGTGGTAAGACGCGTAACCGAAGTAACCGTACTAATTCATTTGGTAAAAACTTATCTGTCAACCGTGATAAGTCTGGATCGAATTTCGATTCTGAACAAGATCAATCATCACTGTCTGATAATCTCTTGAAGTGTACAACTTCGCATTCCGAAAACTTTGTACCAGGTTCTAAAGCAAAACCCATTTCAACACCTATTACATTGCCTGAGGATATTGAGTTTTCAATGCCTCCTCCTAGTGTCACATCTGCACCACGATCTGCTGTTAGTGCAAACAATCGTGGACGTAAACGTAAGAATGAATCATCCAAAAATCAGTCTGATACAAATTTACCATTTTCTAAAGGAGCAAATAGTTCTAAACGAGAACGTCTTCATTCATTGAAAAGTGATCCAAATGATATTCAAAAAACACCTCAGAATGCTGATATCTGGGATGTCCGCGTTCCTGTGATTAGTTTAATTGACGGTTCTTTAATCTACGGTGATCAAGCTCCTGAACGCAGGTCTTTAGAGTCCTGGTTGGATGCAAATCCGAATTACATGCCATATTCTGTGGAATTAGTAAGTATTCTTCTTTTTTGTGTGCTCTAATATTCTTAGCTCACTTTCCCACTGTTTCAAAGAATAGAATATCGGTGTTTTTCTTTTATGTCATGGTAATTCAGTCAGTTATTGTTTGCTGTGGTTTCACAACAACCTCTGAGGAGTGATTTCATTTTACAATTTATGAATTTTCTGGTTTAAAATTAGTTCTCAAGCAAATCTGGTTATTTGTTTATTTGTTCATGGGGTAAAATACCGGTTTTACGAATGAATATCTCAGCTGACTATAGATGGTGGTGTTAGAGAAAGAGAAGAATTTTGTTAAAAGTGTACTGTAGGTGTACGAAATTTCGATGACATGTTATGAGGACACCTGTGCAGTTTACACAACTAACACACTGTGTATTTATTCATTTATTTATCTCACTAGCCTTCTCTATTTATTTAATATGCTTAGTGTTTGAATGCAACAATAATACAAATTCTGTTCTGAAGTTAGCAATTGAATAATAACTACACAGCATATATGCCTTTGAAGTGAATACAGAAATGAAACAAGGCTGCGTGTTAGCATCGATGATATATTCCTAATTGTGGTGGACTGGATTATGCAGCTTATTGTGGGAAACTAGAAGACAGGAATACGATGGACGGATAAATGGACTGTAGAAGATCTGATTTTTGTGGATGATTTATATGTAATGCCACATAAACTCGAAGACCAACAAACTGGCTGGAGACGTTAACAACGAAGGCAGGACTCCAGTTTAACTTAGATAAGACAGACACAGATGATGAAGATAGCCAACAGACGACAACAACAACCGGAGAGATTTGATAGAGGTTACTTCCTTCACCTATCTAGGAAGCATGGTTTCGACCGCAAGCAGTTAGAACAGATGAAAATGTCAAGACCAGCCGGCCAGAATCGGAAAGGCAAGATACGCATGTCTTTATCAACCTGAAACCAGTTTGCATATCATCTGCACTCGTCATTAGGAACGAAATGCGGAATTTTGGCACCAGTGCTAAATCGGTCAGTCCTTCTCTTTGGGCCAGAAACTTGACGCATTATGAAAAGTATTTCCAATAGGTTGCAGACTTTTATCAACAGCTGCCTTCCCTGACTCCATATTAAAGACCAAATGGCCGACTGGCCAGAAAGAGTTAGTGACAAGGAACTCTAGCGAGAAACCAACTAAGAGCCAATTGCTCAACATATATGCAAGAGAAAATTGAGATAGATTGGGTATACGTTGAAAAGATCGTCGAATGGTATTGTGCGTTAGACCATCGCTCGAGTAGAACCCGAATGGGAAACGACAAGTGGGTCTTCCTACGGTGACATCGAGGAGATCGTGTGAGGGGGAGATTATAGGCTATGGGCAATCGTGGGCGTAGCTGAAGAGAAGATCAGAGAGTAGAACAAAGTGTAGATGTGTTGTTGTAGCCCTATATTCCACTCGGAACCCAAGGGAACAATTATGATAATATGCCTATGTTTTTTATTTTCTGAATAGGCTATTATGATTCCACTTGGTGCTAAGCTGTGAATACAAGCGACTGTACAATCGGTTGTTTATGCAAAGAGGGAACATTCTGCAATATAGCTGAACAAGTTTTCCTACCATACTTTTATTCTCATGATGTAACACAAGGTTTTATTAACATTCATTCACAATACGGTCTCTTTTCATATATTTGAATAAAAATTTCACTTATGATTGTTACACTGATCATTGTATCAATTGAAGTCTGCTGCTAACAGATCTTTATGAAAATACATTAATCAACTAAAACATGGATGCGGTTTTGTTGCGGGGGGGGGGGGTTATTAAGGTATTTTTACACAATAAATTTATCTGATTCTTGAGTCAGTACATAAAGTTATGTGAAATTTGTAGGTATAAAATACTGAGTTTTAATGAAATGTTACACAGACTTAATTAATAGAAGTTATGTAGTGAATTGCTCCTTAGTAGATAACAGATCAGATGTTATAGATTGTATAAGTTTTCAGCACACTCGACTATATCTTTCCCTATGCTTGAATTACATCGGTAGGAACCAGTCTTGATACCTTGTCTGTGAATATTTTAGTATGATTGTGATATGTTTCATGATTCATATATTCTTCTGATTTTTTGTGTTAGTACAAAATATATATTTACTGGTATTTTCTTCTTTTTTTTTAATATTTCAGGAGGATCGGGCAATTTATAACCGTGTTGCCAGCGCAAGGGGTCAGGATACTAGTAATATGGAATCCTTGGCATATAAGCATTACCTAAATAGTTTACTAGTCAATGCAGCAGCCGGTTTACATGGTACCAATAATAACAACAATTTAGCAACGTCTAGTTCTCAATCATCAGCTAACACTCAAGTGAATAATTTTAACACTCAGCAATATTTACAACAACAACAATTACTGAGCACATTTGGTGCCTATGCTCGACATCCAGCTTATGCTAGTCTAATTGCTTCTGCTTTAAATAACTGGCCGTCAATTCCAATTCCATCTACTGCTTCTCCAGCTGTCACGAATTCGGTCAGTAGTACTAAATCACGAGTTTCGGCTACAACTAGTGGTAGTGCATCATCTACTTCCCGTTCTTCAAAAAGTCGATCAAACGGTATGCTTTTAACCCGTGCTTTAATATATAATTATCTCACAAATACACCGCAGTATTTATATTCTCTTCTTTATAGTTCTCATAATATTGAAGGTTTAATGAAGAGTTTTCCATTTCTCCTCTGCATAAAGAGGTGACTTTAGAGTAGATGAAATATGCATGGATTACTTTTTTGTATCATCATAATAATCTCATTGATAATTGTTGTTACACACTTGTATCTCATAGTATCATTTATTGTGTCTCAATTTTATATAGGTAATCGTTCAGAAAATTCAAATCGCCGACGTGATTGTAGTGAATTAACAGATTCTTCATCCCTATCTTCTCAAGCGTATTCATCATTTATGCCTGAAAGGAATTCAAACCACAATCCAATTGCACAAGATAATCCGTTTCAAATGTCCACTGGCAATCAACGCGTAGATTCAATGCTAGCGGCTGTTTATCAACAGGCTGCTGCAATGAACCTGGCTTATATGTGCAATCCCTTAACTGCTGCAGCTCTCTACAGTCAGATTATGCTGTCATGTTCTGGAGCACCCAACACTCCAGATGTCGGATTGCCCAATATAAATTTGGCATCTAATGCTACACATCAAGCCACTTTAGCTTCCTTGTATGCCAATTACTTGTTATCAGCGAAACAGATGCAACAGAGGCAAGTGAGTCAGTCACCTGGCCAGTGGGATACTCAACAGCTATTAAGCTCATTAGCTGCGACTCTAGCATCTGCTTGTGGAGGAGGCACTGGAGAAATAGATACTGCAGCTCTCTTATCGATGTTTGGTGGAGCTGCAAATATTTCTCCGACAATAGGCACAACATCTACTCCTCTGAAGCATTCAAGTACGCAACGACGGCCATGTTCCCAATCAATTAAGAGAACTCATCCTATTACAAGATCGCCTCCTCCCGCCTCCGATTTGAATAGCTCTGTTGGTTCAGAGCGAGAAACTCAGGATTCCGGAGATATCCGACAAACTGTATCTTGTAGACATTCAGATCAATCTCAGGATAATTATGATACTACTACTAAAGAATACGACGAAAGTCAATCTATTTTGGACCTTAGTAAATGAGAGATGGTCTTGCATATTTCTTAGGCTTTTGTGTATCTATAGGATAGTGATCATTGTATTATCGACCACCACTATGTTTTTCGCTTGTGTTCTAAACTGCCTTCACCTTGATAATTTTGTTTGTATTTCAACTCGGTGCGTCACTCAATCTTATTTCACTTCCCGGGCATTTTATTCCCTCTATGTATTTTCTTTCCTCTCTTTTGTTATAAACCCTGTTATTTGTGCTTTTATCCCTTTTACTTCTACTATAATCAGCATCATATGCATACAAATGGTTTGTTTGCTTTGTATTAAAATAGCTCTATCATATATAAAGAGTGTTGTATTACGTTTACTTCCCCTCCCCCCGTTTACTCTGTTCTGTTCTGTTCTGTTGTATTTAATCAAACGAGAACGCCCTTTTTTCATATCGTGTTTTTCTCTTTTACTGAAGTTCAAATTTCACACTTATCCCAAAAATATAACTACAGTAGACAGTTACGGCTATTAAATTTTTTGAATGTTATTCTTCACAAGTTCAATGTTTGTTTCCCGCCTATTATGTGCTTGTATTTATGTTTATGAACCGATTAATGCCTAGCTCTTCAGACTTTTACTGTATTTGGATTTTGTTTCTTTTTTTTGGTGCATTTCTCTTCTGTGTTTCTTTTTTGACGAAACTATTGTTACCATACATCTATATACATATACCATATATATATTATATACATATATTTTATTGCTTTCTTAGGTATTTCAAATAATGAATTGTTGAGGTGTTCAGATTGTTACTTTTCTTTTTCATTTCACTTGGTTTCATAATAGTGATGATGATGATGGTGGCAAAGTAGGTCTTAAGTGCGAGTGAAGTTTTTGACGTCTACACCATTTAACTAATAATTTCCCTTATTCACTCTCAACCTAAATAGTCCCACGGTTACATATCGCACTGACTAGTGCTAGTAAATAGGGGAGAAAAATCTAGGGATTTGTGTTAGGCATGCTTATATTTTTCTATTGCTATTTAACTGCTAAATGGTCCGACCGATAGCTGCTACCTTGACGTGGTGGTCGGGCTTGCATATCTCAATGACCCAACAAGCTACACTGGCTGGAACTATGGCTCCTGCAGGTCCTACCATGCCAGGAAGGTTGTTAGGATAGGATGAGTTGCTAGCCTCATGCCCAACCTTTCCTCTCTACCAGCTTTTTTTATTACTGGCTTAGCGAGGTTAAGAAATGCGTCTGCCGGGGATCGAACCCCGGACCATGTGTCCTAACCGCTGTGCCACCGACGCACATAGCCTCTACTGCTTTACGTCTGTCTCAGGAATGAAAATTGACGAATTCTACGGTAGTCGCTAAGATGCTTTTTGTAACGTCGCCAGGATGAAGTTCCTATCGAGAAACGGTCTTCAGCTTGTCCAAACAAGTTTCATACACTACTGTGAAGGAACTAGTGGCGAACGATGTAGGTATAAGTCAATCTTATCTGTCTAACCAGTGTTCACACAGACACAAATGTGAAGAATAGCAAGCCAAATGATCTAGAAAAACTAATCAAATCGTCCCTATGTTAACACCCATTCCATTGAAGAACTACGCTGCGATATTTCCCCTACTTAGACTAGTATTAAGTTAAGCTTTGGAATACGTATGGGTCCTGGGATTTGTCGTAATGTGTTTACTGAGATCTTCATTGCACAGCACTTTTGTGGTTGTTTACCTTATTTCTACTATTAATCTGTTTCACTATGCATGCTTTGGTTTTCCAAGGTCACTTTGGTGATTATTCGTTTGGTTTGGTATTACTTACAAGCACTGAAACGCATAGTCTTTTACAGTAGTACTAACAATTCATCCTTAAGAATTAATGCAAACGCACCCTTATGTCAATCTTGCCACAGTTCTGCATTTTGGTGAATTCGATAGCCTGTATTTCATCATACAGTTGAATTGTATTCCTCCCCGAAGCACAACACATTTACTCTTGCACATTATTATTATTATTATTGTATCCTTTAATTCCTACAGGAACATAGGGCTTCAGCCTCTCTTGCACATTAGCTACTAAAAATCAATGTAGATTTTCAGTCACCCCACCTAACCCCATACTACTTGTTTGAAGTGGTTGAATGCTCTCAATATTCCTCTACTTGTTCTTTTCTGCAGCTGTCAGTATATTTATGAATTCCACCCTATATTTCAAAATGTGAAAGATATATTGATCACCACATAAAGCAACTGAGGGGGTGATGGGCTGGGTGCTCGAAATGTGCTCATAAGTATGAAATTGTGCAGACTGAAATGTTCGTGATTGATACACATTAGTGCTCTGAGGTCTTACACACATTACAAGCTCCCGTTTAACGTAACTCAAACTCGCAGCAGATGATGACAAATAAATCTTTAAAACGAATAGTTCATATGGACATTGAAGAATTCTGTCTGGCCATCACGCTTTCATCAACATTATTTTGGTTGAAAGTATTCAGAATGTTCACACTCACGTTATGTATGTTCAAAGGCTTACGCAGTATCTCTGTCTAATTGAGCACTCACCACAGTTCCAAAATATTTGCGCAGTTTTAGATTATTCGACTTTTAAGCAATTTTCTAATAATAATAGCTTTATTCCAAAGAGTACTTTCGGTACAAATATGGAATTTTCGGCATTACACTTTTCTCATCACATACAATATGTGCCTGTCGAATAACGTATTGTAGAGTTTTTGCACTTATTCGTTCGGGCATACAGTCTTCTATAGCTGCTTCTAGTTCCCCTGCCCGATGAGATACAAGGAGAGGATGTTCAGAGTCTGACAGGATAATATTTCCTAATTTCTTGCAGGAATCCAAGTGTCTATCTACAACAGTATTAATGAGTTGGTTTAGCAACACTTCACTCGCCCTACTCGCGGCTTTTAGTGCCCTACGCAGTATATCTGTTTATCTTAAGTAGCGTAGGAAAGATTAAGGGAGAAGAGTAACGAAGTGTAGACAGAATACATGAATTAACAAGCGGTAACAGCAATAATGGAATGATACCAGATGATCTTAACTTCGTTACATAGAACATCAAACGATATATCTTTCTGGAAGCTAACACGATGTGCGAAGACGAGGAAAGGCGATCAGAGGAAATACACAGTCGTGGATATTTAACCTTCGATTTGGTTCAAATTTCAGTGCCATCTATGATAGTGGAACTGTCGCGCTTGCGTCTGAAAGTGAAATAAACCACCTAATATTTGGAGGGATTGGGCTTACAACCATTTGACGAGGGCCACTGATTAAAAATTTCTCTAATGGATGTCAGCTGATGATGAAATCCTGTAACTAATCAATCAAATCCCTACAAAACAATAATTTAAAAAAAAAGTTATTCATTTTGGAACAGTCTGACTGAGAAGTAACAGGCAAAGAAACAGTCAGATTATCGGCATACTTAACAAAATTAGCTTCGTCAGAATGGGGAAGTCGTGTGAGAAGAAGGAAAAGAGCTCCCTGAGGAACACCACCAAGAGTAAGTGAAGCACTTGAGGACTTTCCATTGTAAACAGTGCACTGGCTCCTATCAGAAAAATAGGAAAGCAACCACTTGGTAACCCGGGACTGTGCTTGTGACTCAGCAAACTTGTTTAACAAAATAGGCCTAGGTACAGAATCGAAGGCAGATGTGTAATCTAGTAAGGCACACTGAACATATTTGGCACCTATCTAAGCTAAAGACAATATTATCGTATAAGACGACTGTGGAATCTGAAGTACACTTCCTATGTTTATAAGCAAATTGATTCGGGTCGTTAAAAACCTTCAATGAAGGTTCAAGGTTAAGTAAAAGCAGTCTTCCTATTACTTTAAAAAAAGGTGAAGTATTGGCAATAGGTGTGAACTTAACATTTGGTCCACTTGATGATTTAGGCACAAGAAAAATTTTAATATCCTTCTAAGAAGCAGGCACAGTGTTACTGCAAAGTGAGAGGATGACATAAAATGTCAGCACATTTATTAACGATAATACCTGGTACACCATCTGGATCATGGGACTGGCTGGGTTTCAGGGATTTGAGACACTTGAAGACATCGTTTAAGTCAAAACCAGAGAAGCAGTCATTGCTTGCACTTGTAGCATTTGAGATCATAACACCATCTGGAAGACATATGAATGGCTTATTAAGAGTACCACCATCGACTGTAGAATGATCATTATTTATTTCCTTACGCCTGGTGATTTCCTTAAACAGCTTCCACATATTTGATGAAGTTTGGCATGACAAAAACTTCTGGTTATAAATCCTATTTAATCTATGTATTTCTGATTGAATTAAGATGTTCAGTCTCTTAACACCCGGATTGTCTTTCATTTTGTGTAACCTTCCTGTTTTCGGCGAAGGCTTTTGAGCTGAGAAGAGGAGAAGCGGTCAGATCTTAAGAAGAGTGTCTCTTTTGGACAGTAAACATCAAGACAGAATTTGAGATAAGATGTTAGGTTTGTGATTCTGCCATCTAGAACTTGTTCAGTAAATAAGTCCCATTTTGTATCACTTAACATGTTTCTTAGATTCTGTATATTGTCACGGGAGTAACATCTCTGTTGTGTTCTCTTGCCGAGGTTCACGAAGGCTGTTTTGTGAAGCTTTCCATATATATATGGGCTATATACGTATGATACAATGATCAGAATTAAGAATCATAGAAAAGAAAAAATGTTCAGCGAATAATTACTTTTTCAGCCGTATTAGCAGCAACATAAACAACAAACGGATGTATACCTAAGATATGTTGATGACATTTTATTGTCTGCGAAAGCAGATCAAAAGCTGAAGACATGTTGATAAAATTCAACTCATGCCATCCGAATCTCAATTTCACAATAGAACACGAGGAAATTGATACTATTCAATTCGTAGACATTTCTCTAGTGAAAAGGACTGATGGCACAATCGAAAGATCTATATTTAGAAAGTATTCATGGACAGGACAGTACATACATTTCAAGAGCTTTGTTCCAATCC